TCCGACTAGCGTTTAACCATGGACGACGTGGAATGAATGAGGTTGTGAATGGGAAAATAGTAGGATCTTTAAACGGTGGTACAATAAGCCCCGCAGGCTGCAGTGCTGCCAAACTACAAGCGGATTAGGGTAGAGCACGGGAGGTTTTGTTTAGTCGTTAGCATAACAAGCGTTTCCATGGCAACAGTTTCTTCATAAGATCACGCTACGCTCTGATCTAAAACTTGGCAACTACGCATTTCCTCACTACGAGATATGGGTTTTTGTTTAGACGTTGACATGACAAGCTTTTCCATGGCAACAGTTAAATGATCTATAATTTGGCAATTCCGTATTTTCTCACGACGAGATTTGGGTTTTTGTTTAGTCGGTAACATGACAAGCGTGCCCATGGCAACATTTTTTGCATAACTGATTTCAGCTAAATGAAATTAAACAAAAAACCGTAATCATTTACAACTTGGCAACTACGCATTTCCTCACCATGACATTAAGGTTTTTGTTTACTCATAGCCATTACATTTGTTATCATGACAACCGTTTTTGCATAACAGATTTCGGCTAAACGAAAGTTGAGCCCTGCAGTCTATTATTTTAGAATAAACAACAAAACTTGCAACGTACATGCAAAGAATGTTTAAAAAAAAAACATTTTATTTAAGTAATAAGTTTATTGAAGTTTGGAAAATAAAAGAGCGGTATCTCAGGCATAATAAGCTTGGAACAAAGAAGAATTCATAAGAACAGGAAAAACATAATTAATGAAAATGACAAACAAATTGCCAGAGATCATTTTATCTATTCCATCCTATGAGAGCCACTACACTAGGAGGAAATCCACCAAGAAATATTTTCCACAACATTAAACATTAAGTTCTTTATACCAAGCCTACAAAGAAAAATATCCGGGGAATTTTATTAATAGGAAAGCTTACGAACCGATTTTTCACAGCCTAAATATAATGCGACAAACTCCAAATGAAATTAACAATTGCCAGCATCGATGAAGAAAAAAACAGCTTGAAGGCTGAAATTGCGCTACATCATGAACAGGTTGATATGGGCTATACTTTTAAAGAAGCAGACAGAACATCGTCTATGTCAAATCTCCAAAAGAAAACGATATGTTCTGACTTCAAACAGTGTCTACCAACCCCAGACCTGCAAAGTGGTGAAACGTTTTACAAACGACAACTTTGGACATACGACCTCACAGTTCACGATTGCGATGATAGGCTTATTGTTTTCTTTTGTATGAATCCCTATCAAAAAGACTTAACAAGTCATCTTGATCCTGCTGTGACCCATATTATCATGTACTCGGATTCTTGTGGGGGTCAAAATAAAAATAGTTTTATTTCAGCTACCTGCATCGTGGCTTTGCAAGATTCTACAAATTTGTCCATAATTGACCATAAATATTTATTACCAGGACACACACATATGGAATGTGACACAGATCACAGTTTTATTGAAAAAAAAAAATACTCCAAAAATTGAACACCCCCATGACTGGGCACAACTTACATTTAGTAGGGAAAAAGAAACCGTTGGAAGTTTACGACAGATTTTTTTGAGTTCTCGGGGCTATATTCCAAATCATTGGTAAATAGAAAACAAGACAGCGTGGGCAACAAATTCAATTAGAGAGAAGTCAGATGGATCAGGTATGAAAAAAACAAAGATATACTGTTGTACAAAAATTCCCTGGATGAAAATGAAGAATTCAAAACACTTAGTTTTGAAAAACGAGCTCGTTCTAATATCCAGGTGGAACGGCATATTCCAAAAATTGCTTGTGAAAAACCTATTCCAATCACAAGTGAAAAAAAAAAACAAAACCTTATTGAGCTACTTCCATACATTTCTAATGGGAATTGGGATTTTTATAAATATTTACAAACAGCAAGTGACCAGGTTGATCTATTCCCTGATGCCTCCTCTGAAGAAGAAAACTAAACTATGGACCAAGTTATCTTTTTGTATGTATTTTAATCTTAAGATAATAAAGTATTCATAAAAATCACACTCTAGTATTATTGTGTAAAGTGAATATGGAGATAAGGCTTTTGCGTAAAAGGAGACAAGTCAATCAAAAATCACTTTTTTTTGATATTTTTTCTAAAATTTTTTTTTGCGTCTTGTTATATCCATAACAGCTTTGCTTTATTAAGAATATGTATATTTGTCAGTATAGGAATCCATAAAATAGTTTTAACTAATAATAAAGTTGAATTTCTTTAAATTGCTATTTTTCACAAAATGACGAATTTGACTTAACACCTTTTTTCGCGCGCATCAGCGTATTTATATAAAAGTAAATAAAAACCAAACAAAATTTAGCAAACATGGAACACCTCTTCATGTGATTAATTTAAACATTAAAAAAATATATACAGGGTATATCTAAATAACACCGAAAAAATTAAAGGGGTGATTCTGCGATGAAAATTAATGTGAGTGTTTGGTATAAAGTTTTTTGAAAAAACCCTCCCCGGAAAAGTTACACCCCTTCGAAAATTAAAAAAAAATGGTTTTTCTTTTTTATTTTCCCTGTATATCAAGCTAAAGACACGAAACTTGGTAAACATTATCTGTCAATAAAAGTACACTTTTTGAAATTTTTTCAACCCTGAAGTATGCTTAGAAGGGGTTGAAATAATCAACCCCTAAGATATTTTTTCTTACCACTTTTTTTTAGATTAACTTTTTTATCTCTACAAGTTTTTTTTCGAAAACTTAAGCATTTATGAGAAAAAAATAAATAAGCTCATGTAAAATAGCATTTTATTAAACGACAGCCAACCAAATTATGATTCTTAAGACTTCTACAACTAAAAACAAAAGTGAACAAACAATGAACAAAAACCTGTCGAATATCGACAATACAATTATAATAAATGTTGAAAATGACCGCCTTCAGCTTCAATACAAGCATCTACCCTTTTCCTCATAGAATTGCGTATACGATGAAATATTCCTGGATAATTTCTTATAGTTTCACACCCTGCTACAATGCGGTTTCGCAGATCATCGATATTTTCAACTGGGTTTGTGTATATCAAAGATTTCAGATATCCCCATATGCAAAAATCCAAAGGATTAAGATCAGGGGAGCGGGCTGGCCAGTTTACAGGTCCTCCTCGACCTATCCATTGATTGGGATACACCTCATCCATGTGAGTTCTTGCACGTATACTAAAATGAGCTGGTGCACCATCGTGCATAAACCATAAATGTTACCTAATTTGAATGGGAACCTCTTCAAGAAGAACAGGTCTTCAAGGAGACAATATGCTTCACCATTTAATCGTAGCGGAAGAAAATGGGGACCAATTAAATGATTATCAATAATTCTGAGCCACACGTGTAATGAAAATTGATACTGATGATTTCTTTCAAAAAAGCCATGAGGATTTTCGTCAGCCCAAAGGTGATTGTTGTGAAAATTTCTAATACAGTCTCTTGAGAAACTCGCCGCGTCAGTAAATAAAATATTACCTAAGAACTGTGGTGCTTGGCCAATCATATTAATAAGCTACTGACAAAAAATCACACGGGGTAAAAATCATGATTCCTACACTTTCCTTATATCTGTATACAGATAGGAAAGTAAAAAATCTCGAATCATTAACGCCTGCACCCATTGAAGATGATAGGGATACAACATTTGTTCTTTTAAAATTCTAAAAAACAACGGAATGGCTTACATGTAGGACACGAGCTATTCTCCTGGTATTAGTTTCTGGTAATTCTTCAATTAAATTAAGTACGGCTTCTTCTACAGCTGCAGTTCTAACCTCTCTAGTACGACCAGAATCATAACTTCTTTTTTCAAAATCACCACGTTCCCGCAAGCATCGGTGAATAGTTGTGAACGTAGTATGATGGGTACTGTTCAGCATAAAGTCTTTGCGCTTCCAATGAATTACCGTTAGCACGACCGTATGTAAAATGCATATCTGCCATTTCCAAATTCGAATATGCATTCATATTTTCAATCAACTAATATTTCCTACAATACACAATCATAAAACTTGTGAAACAATGATGGGTAACAGAAAATGACACTACACAATCCTGGTATCAGTATTAATGTTTTTATGCAAAGCACAGGCCACTAGACTTGACGCAAAATACACTCGCGTTAGCTCATCTTTTTGAAAATGCATTGCATTAGATTTTTTTTCTCGTAAATGCTTAAGTTTTAGAAAAAACTTGTAGAGTTAAAAAAGTTAGTCAATGAATTGGGCTTTTCAGTCATAATTTTTAAAGAAAAAATTTTCATCTAAAAAAATGTAAGAAAAAATATCTTAGGGGTTGATTATTTCAACCCCTTCTAAGCATACTTCAGGGTTGAAAAAATTTCAAAAAGTGTACTTTTATTGACAGATAATGTTTACCAAGTTTCGTGTCTTTAGCTTGATATACAGGGAAAATAAAAAAGAAAAACCATTATTTTTTTTAATTTTCGAAGGGGTGTAACTTTTCCGGGGAGGGTTTTTTCAAAAAATTTTATACCAAACACTCACATTAATTTTCATCACAGAATCACCCCTTTAATTTTTTCGATGTTATTTAGATACACCCTGCATAATTATAAATTCTTAGATATAAAAATAATACTTAATAGGTACTAATTTCAATGTAAACGAAAAAAATTAAACAAATAAGCAAAAAATAAAATAAAATCCATTAAAAAACATCTTTTAATCAGATACTGATAGCAGTGATATTAAAAAATAACAATTTAAAGTTTTATCTGAAAACCTTATTTTCAATAAATTACCCATACATATTCGCTTTCCGTTTTCCTAATGGACACTCCACGTTCGTGAATCCCATCTCCAATCAGCCCTACTTTACCCAAAACTGCAAACGGGCGGAACATATATACAGACATGAGGAATTCGTGCCGCCACATAAATCCAAAATCCACCAGTTCCTATCACTCTACTATACTCTAAACTCATTTATTTAACCGGAATCCTGTGTTTTAGATACGTCCAACAGACGGCGAATTCTCCGGTAGATATGAGAGTCGGAATTCACACGGGAGCCGTGTTGGCGGGGGTGCTGGGACAAAGGCAGTGGCAGTTCGACGTCTACTCCAAGGACGTGGAGCTGGCTAATAAAATGGAGAGCAGCGGATTGGCTGGGTAAGACGCATTTTGTTTCTTTTAATAACCTTTTCTTGATGTAAGAAACATTTTAGGACACTATTATAATAATAATAATAATAATAATAATAACAACAATTTCAGTAAATACGAAAATACTATTTTCAATTGATAGGAATGCAATTGATTTAAATAATTATAATAGTACAAAAAACATAATAAAACATGCATTAATAGTAAAAAATAAAAATAGATTTTGTGAGGATTGTATATAACCGAGATCAGCTATATTGTTTATTAAATAAAGGGACTTTCAGATTAGATTTAAATGTGAAGATACAAAGATTGTTTAAATTTCCAGGAACAGAGTTACATAACTGAAATATTTGATATTTAAATGATCCTCCAAAAATTTCTGTTGGAAACTGTGGCGGCGTCAGTAAACCTTCAAATCTTAAATTTAGGTTATGTACATCTGTTCTAAAAGTTATTTTATTATATAGATACATTGGCGATAATGGCGTTTTATACACAATACATTTGTTATAGAGGGTAGAAGCAAGGTGGATCCTTCTATATTCCATGTTCTACCACCTAACTTTCCGTAAACTAGCCTTATATTTTGTGGCATTCGGAAATGTCTCCACCGCGCAGCCCGGCATTTTAAACATTAATTTAGTTCTTCCCTGTTATAATTAGGAAAATATAGTCACTACTAACACAAAACCAAATAAATTATTTTGCACTATTTAATCGAAAAGTGTCAAAATAACTTGAAAGTTCGTCTAGCATTACGTCATACCATTAGTATGTTTATCAGGGATAGTACTAACCTTTGAATATAAAAACACAGGAAGGAGCTGATTTAAGGAGGTCCTTTCGCCACCCCTTTCGCCACCAATGTTAAAAAAAAATATTAGATTATGACTAAAATTTATTTTTTTTCTAATAGTTGAAGTCCTTATTTATCTAATGTTGAACTTTTAACTATACCTTACCGTGCAAATTTTTGAGAATTTTTTTTTTTAAATGTGAGTATTTGTTGTGTCTTACGAGAAAATAAGACCTCAACAACAATTCTCGAATTATATTATTATTTATTGATTAGATGGAGTAGAAAAAAAACTAAAAATAGGGTTTTTGAAATATTTAGGTTTTGTTTTTTACAATAAAATATATAGGTTACCTTGGAATTTATTGAAAAATTAATATTAAAAAAAAAATTTGAAGTAACCTAGTTGAAAATTTTATGTGATTTTTTAATATTAATTTCTCAATAAATTCCACGGTAAAGATAACTTTAATCCCTTCTATTAAATTTATATTTAATGCATGTATATCTTAGATCTATACGTCAGAAATAGTGTAATTGCAATAATTTTGTAAAACTCATCTTAGATGTAGGTTTTGCAACTTTTTTAAGGGAATTGACACTTTTTGTTTTGTCGACTTTTTTAAATGACCATATAACGCATTGTTGAACTGGCTGTTATTTAATTTTTGACAATTTATCTGCATGCAATGATGTTTTCAAGTGTTGAATACAGGGCTGCCAGATTCAGTACATTTGTACTGAATTTACTACTTTTTCAGTACCTCAGTGTTACGTTGTTAGTTTTAGTACGTTTTGTTAAAAATTGTCAACTCAGTACCATTTTCAGTACTATTTGGACATTTTTCGAATAAAGTGACGCATTTTAATAACAAAATAGTAAATTCAGTACCATTTTCAGTACTATTAGATATTCCAACGACCTGTCAAACTGCTGACAAGTGGGAACTGACATTTTAGATATGGCAACCCTGTGAACCTGTTGTCATTGACTGAGTCAATGATACAGATATAGTTATATAGATTGCTCAAAGCGGGTTGTTTGTGAGCGGCCATATTGCCTCGCAAGAGACATTATTCAGAATCCATTTTGAAAAAATTTGTTTAGAAACCAATATTCTTTGAATATAGTAAAAAAATAATTACCTACATTTTTACTTCAAGGCATAAGATTATGTTTATTTTGAAAAATATGGATGATCAATCTATTTCATTGACCTTGTCAAATCACCAGGCCTACAGGGTTGCCATAATTTTGCCATATCATAACCTGTCAAAACCCACTGGTAGCCATTTTGTTTCGAATGTCTAATTTGAACATTGTTCGAATAAAGTGACGTATGTTATCAACGATGACAGGTGACAGTTAGGTCATGTGATGAGTCAAATAATTTATTTTTAAGGTGTTGTTCGATTTAGGTATTGGTACATTTTCATAAAATATAGCTTTTTTTGGTTATTCAGTACATTTTTTAAATCTAGTACGTTTTAAAATGTTTTGTCATTTTCATTTTGTCAGTCCTGGTTGAATCACTTCAAACTTTTTTCACAAACTATTTTCGTACAAGCTTTGTAAAACACTTTATCCCCATTGAGCCTTAACTCTGAAAAGTTCTTAATCCACGAAGATATTCTCGACATTTTAAACACACTTTAAACAATAATTACAATACTTCACTAACAGAATATCTACTAAACTCTCTCGCTCTCTATCCTTAAACTGAATTAAAATTGCGTTCTAAAACATAAATATTTTATGATCGTTAAATAGATTATTTTGAAGAAATTACTGGAAGTTTCAAAGCCGTTTTATTGCATCGTGTACCTACTTTATTTGTGGAAATACCAATTCCCTTGAGTAGATAAATATTCAATTCCTCTCTCTCTCTCTCTCTAGGTAAATGCTAAATTCTTTTAAAAAATCCTTCCTAATATGGATAGTATTATATTTTTTCGAAAATTTAATTTTGCATTTATTCCGCTCTCTTATTATAATAAACGGTATCGACAGATTTTAGCTAGATATAAATTTGTTAATTACAGAGTATCATTTATACTAATGACTTTCCAGAAAATCAGATGCATAAATCTAAATGCGAACTAGTTTGTAAAGTAAATTTGTCGAATTATTGCCAGAGTTGTATAAATTTAAACGCACAAGCGGAATACTCATAGAAGCGCTAAACACAACCAACAGAAGTTGTTTGCATGTCAACACAAAGCTCGAATGTCGTCGGTTTTTGTCTCTTTAGAAACGTAGTTGCAACTTAATTGAAAATAAATAACTATTTACTACTAAAAAAAATAATGTTTCTATTTCCACACCGGTTCCCAAAATGTTTCTCTCTGAGAACCGCTTCTAAAAATCGGAATAAATTTTCATTGATGTTTTTCTCCAAGCATACATTTCATGATATCTTTAGCACACGCTCCAATTATTTAAGTTTTTGCCACTGTAAGAGCTTATTATCTGTACAATTTTGTAACTAACTTGAGAGCCATTTTACTATTTTCGTTTAAAGCTGACAGAAAAGAAAACATATTAAAGAGACAATAAAATGGTGGTTTATACCTTATCGAGACTGAGGCCCACAAGGGTAAACTCGAAGCGTAAAAAAACGAGAAATGATTTAAATTGGAACGAAAGACCGAAAACAGACGTTAAATTTTTTGGTTTGTGAATCATTGGCATTACTTAGGTTAAACCACGTGAGGATTTTCATAAGCCTTGATTTTTAAAACCATTCTATATCGCGTTTTGATAAGGGCTTACAAACTTGTTCGATCAATTTATTCAATAATAATTGGCCCCTTTACCACTTAAGCCTGCTCAAGTAAAATATTTGGGCTCCTTACACCGCCTATTTATCTAAAAATATTCGGTCCCTTTTAAATATGTCCATGTAAAATTATATGATCCTTCTACTCCCCTATATCTGTTCATGTAAAAATATTTGCCCCCATTGCCGCTTAAGCCTACTAAGTTTAAAATTTTTAAAAGATTTTAAAAAAGCGGCAACATCTTTTTTAATTTTGATAAATTTATTAATACCAATTCTTTGGACAGTGCATCTATCGTTCTGTATAGTTTAGGAATAGTAGTGTTGGACGACTACGGATGTATTTTTTACATATTTTTTAAAAATTATTGGTAATTAAAAATTTTAGAGTTGTTTTTGTCTTGGTGTACTTTAACACAAAAATAGTCTAGGTTATAGCAACTTATAGCCACAAAACTATTTTAAAGTAGATCCATAGAGAGCAATATAATTTACAAAGGCCTTCTTTCAACATACAAATAAATGACAACTTTATAATTAAAATGAAAAACACAACAAAATACCTCGGTATTATAATTAATCAAAATTTGAAATGGGTTAATCACATTCAGTCATTAACAACCAAAGTTAAAAGATTCTTTTTTAAATTTTATATATTGAGGAAATTTATGACTAATTATTATTCACAACTCGCTAGTTAAATCTATTTTGCGATATGGTATAATGTGGACTACATGATATTGCACTTCAACCCCTTAATGTAATTAAAAATCGTATAATTAAAATTATCTAAAAAAATCAACAATATATCCTACCTCTCTTTTATGTAATAAAAAAGTGCTTTGTATAAGAACATTGTATTATCTGTCTTGCTGTACCTTTATATAGCAAAACCTGAATTGAGATACACTACAAATCATTTCCACAGCACAAGAACGAGATTAAATGATCAGTCGAGAATTCCAGCAGTTCAGCAAGATGTTAGTCAAGGGTTTGTAACTTATGTTGCTCCCAAAAGTTTTAATACTCTACCTACCAATGTGAGGAATATAAAATTTTTTAAGCTATGTCAGAAGAAATCAAAACTGTATATCACATCTAATATTGATGCATATAAAGATGTACTCTAGATCATTCTTTTTATTCTGTTTTTGTAAATGTATAAATGTGTACATAATTATGTATAAACCAGGGGACAGGGTTTATGGAGCAGCGATAAAAACCTGGGGACAGGGTTTATGGAGCAGCGATAAAAACCAGGAGAAGGGTTTATGGAGCAGTGTGATTTGATAAACGGAAACCGGAAGTCTTTGACCTCTGGCCTTTGGCTAGGTAAGAAATAGACCGTTAGACAACCTTTAGCTAGATAAGAAAAATACTGTTAGATAAGAACTTGATAAGAAAAAGACCATTAGATAAGAGCCTCTGACCTCTAGACAATCTTTGGCTAGCTAAGAAATAGACCATTACATAAGAGCCTTTGACTTCTAGACAATCTGTGACTAGATAAGAAAAAGACCGTTAGATAAGGGCCTTTGACCTCTAGACAACCTTTAGACAGATTATATTTTTTTATGGATTGTTGAAGATATATAATGGCTCAATCATTTGAGAACATGGCTAAAAGTAATAGTGATAGCGGTGTAGAACTGGACACATAGATTTTAGATTATAAAGAACATCGGGAAGAAGTAGTCAACAGCCAAACTTTTCTGGCTTACACAGAACACGGGACTTTATGTGTTAGTCAGACTTACATAGAATTAGAAGGGGAGAAATTTGTGTTATTTCTGCTATTATCAAGTTGTAGTGCTATTTGAGGAAAATCTCACAGATAAACATGTTGTTGAACACATTAGCAGAGCCAGTTTAGCAGATCAATCTTACAATTCTAGTGTGTGTAGTGCATCATTATACAATCAATGTTTATCCAATTATTCGTAAAACCCAATCAAATAACTGCATTTTAAAATTTATTTTATTTTTATTAGGTAGACCACACCTTAGGAGGGAGGAGTTAAAATTTATTAGTTTAGCGCCAATTCTGCATTTTATAACAATAAAACAGTTTAACAGGTAGGTCTATAAAAGGTCACCTATTACACCTAATCTGCTATAAAATATGCCTTTTATCAATATAAAGTTTATTAGTTATTTTTTGGAGTGAGGGTAGCCATATGTGAGTAGTAGGGATTAAGTGTAAAGGTTAAAGAAAAGGTCCTTTATTTCTCACAAGTCAATTTATTGGCGACCGGTTTCGAAGTTGTCACTTCATCATCAGGCACACCTAAATGGAATGTCAAGGAGTCAGTTGTAATAAAAACAATTATAAAAGCATGAACGGACTTTAACATATACAAAATAACAGAAAAAACACAAAAGAAAGTTAAACAATAACCTTGACTCACCTTGACTAATTCCATAAAGGAAGCGCTACAAAAAGTTTAACAGAACGAGTTAAAAAAGTCATGTGTAATAAGTATTTTTTAAAAAAATTTTTAATGTAGGTTAGGTTAAACCACCAGATGTCTTTTTGAATAAAATAATTAATTAAAACACATTTAAGACAATTATTAACTAAACAACACAAAATAGTTTTACAAGCACAAACAGTTTAAAAATTTTTAGGGAAATAATGTTAATTACTGAAAGTAAAAAGTAATTTTTACTTTTTTAGTCCGAAAATGCAAAAAAAAATTTCATCTGTTCGACTGTGAGTATGTATGCCGGCACGATAGCTCTAGAACAAAAGTTCTGATTGACTTGCGGTTTTGATTTTCTTGAATAATTACTTCTAACTTATAACCTTATTGATTTTCAGAATGTTCGGTTTATCCTAACTACTTTAATATCAATTGTCTTAAAATCCGCATATGCATTTCATATGTGACAATTTTAGGAATTTCAATTATTTCTAACGTCAACATTCCTAACATTTTTTTCTTATCTAGCCAAAGGTTGTCTAGAGGTCAAAGGCTCTTGTGTAATGGTCTTTTTCTCATGAAGTTCTTATTTAACAGTGTTTTTCTTATCTAGCCAAAGGTTGTCTAGAGGTCAAAGGCTGTTATCTAACGGTCTTTTTCTTATCTAGCCAAAGGCCAGAGGTCAAAGGCTTCCGGTTTCCGTATATCAAATAACACTGACCTTGTGGCTCCATAGACCCTTCTCCCTGGTTTTTATCGCTGCTCCATAAACCCTTTCCCTGGTTTTTATCGCTGCTCCATAAACCCTGTCCCTTGGTTTTTATCGTTGCTCCTTAAACCGTCCCCCATTTCCCTTCTATTAACGTTCGCAAGTGAAAGAAGTACGTTAATAAAGCCTTACCACAGGTATATTTTTATCTACGCCTCTAAATGTAAAAAAAAAACGGTAATAATAACCACTGCCTACATTTCAATAGGCGGTTCTAACAATTGAATAAAATCGTTTTGTTTTTTTAGCAACGATAATATTCTCATAAACAATTATTTTTAACGTATTTTAGCATTTTCTGGTAACAAAATGAGTGATTCGGAAAATTTTCCATCTGATATTGAAGAACAAGCTTTAAATATAGTTACTTATTACTTTAGATTGTGACAGTAATTTGTTATTAAATTTAAATAGATTTTGAAATTTTGACTTTTTTATTTGATTGATTAAAAGCAGTGAGATAAGAAAAACGCATGCGTTAATAAACTTCTTATCTCACGTAAAATGAGTGGGATAAGAAGTTCTTATTTTACAGGCGTAGAAAACACTTGAACACGTCAATTTTTATATTTATTGATAACATTTTCCCCCCTCTTTCATCATTTCTACGTGACAGCCCCCTACAATTTTTTTAAATAGAAATTAAAAACTTTTACGTGTGACACTTTATTTGACAGCTAATTTTATTAGTGATTCAATTCATCACATATATAACTTGTCTTTCAAATATGGTGTCACACTTTACATTAAATAAAAAAAAAATACGTCAGAGGGCGCTAATATCAAAAGTAATGCAATTAACAGTTAAATGAATTACCTTTCCACGTCAGACAAATTTTCTGATCATAAAATGCGTGAATTAAAATAAAAATTGACGAGTCCAATCGTTTTTTCACTTTTATTTTAAATAACGTAGTTTACTGACAACATCCACACTGTATCATGAATCCGAATAAAACGTACATTCCTCAACTATTAGAGGAGATATCTTTTAAAAGTTTAGTTTGGTCATACTTACATTCAAATTTACCAAGCAGCTTTAAATAATCAATTTTTTTGTACGTCATTGCACTCACTAATTAATAATAAAATCCTGGTGTATTTACCTAACAAAAGCGAAACTGTCTTTACAAGATTTTGGGTCTGTTTTTAATACGTCATACGTATAACTAGGTAATCCAAAAACAATGGAACAAAGGAGATTATTTCACAAAGAAGAATATATCCCACTTCTAAAAGGCTCAAAATCCGAGGAAAACGACCTGGTTCTCTAACCACATCCAACACACATTAACTTTTCCACACCCGGACTAATCCGGTAGCTCTATATTTTATTCAACGGTTTCCCGGCATTGACTTATGCGCAGTGACGTACTAGGTTCAAAAATTTCTTATGTATTTACAAACTATTCAAAATCTATTTTTAAGAAACTTTTTTAATGTATTTTAGTGAATCTTCCAATAATATAGAAATCTGTATTTGATAATTTTGTTTCAGGAGGGTGCACATTTCTGACGCGACTTTATCATTTCTGGATGGAGAATTTGAAGTTGAACCAGGTTTTGGAGAAAAACGAGACGAATCCTTAAGGATAGCAGGATTAAAAACTTACTTCATTGTTAAAGTGCTCATACCTGTAAGTATTCATTCGCAATGCTTTTATTTGACAATAACTTTTTGAAACTTTTCTTTAAATAAGAGCAAAACATCTCCAAAACAAATAAGTAGAATTAAGGGATCCAATTCAATAACCGGGCAAGTCCAGAAAGTTAAAATGTTGAGAAAATAGGAAAAACTGATCATTTACAAAATTCGACTTGATTGCTTTTTTCGTTGCATACACAATATTAGGGTGGATTTAAAAGAACGTTCTTTATAGGTTTTGGTTTAAAAGTTTAATTTTTTAAAAAATATAGGAAAAAAAAATTAATGGACTTACCCTGTTTTTGTGAAGGAAACGTCAAAAAAAATATGTAACTATTTAAATCCAATAAAGGAGAAAAAACGGCATTTTGAGATAAAAGTAAAACACAAGAATATTTTTACAACTGGTTTTATATTATTTTCACTTAATTCGTTAAAAAACAATCTACTCATCGCTGCTAAATTCCAACACTGATGTCACATGATTCTCTTCCTGGAAAGTTTGGTGAATATTCTCTATCTCCTGGTAGAATCACATGTCGCATTGTGATAGGTAATGTTTAGCTAAGCTCGTCACGTGCTGAAATTTCTTTGGTTTTAATTTTCTTCTTCCTGGGTACAAATATTGATCATTAGTTAGAAGCGATGGGGCATCTAAGACTTTTTTTGTTTTTGATGTCAAATTTGCAAAAAATTGGCGTTCCAATAGTTTCACTACAGTCTATAGTCGTTGTTGCATCCTGTTTTTCGTAATGAATTATTCTGTATTTTGATATGGTACATTTATTATTTTTCTTTGAAGGATTTAAGACAAAGGATGATTTCAAGTGATCTTTAAAGTTCAGTAACATGTCTTGAGTTACCTGTTTGACCAAAAAATTTTTGCTGGAACCCAGAATGATGTTTATATAGTCACGAGGCAAATACATTTTGTCGTGTTTCTTTTTTTGTAGTTCTATCAATCCAAAACTACGATCACACGGCAAGAAACTATGACCCGGTTCGGGATATCTGTGGTGTATTTTTGTAAATCTGCCAGTATCAACCAAGGTATAAAAAAACTGAAGCAGCATGTAGTTTTTGTTCTGAGATGAGCAGTTATCGGAAAAAATATATAAATCAGTTACCTCAGGACTCAAATAAGTATTAACAAAGTGTAACAGAAGACTTACTACTCCATTCTGTCCTTTTCCGCCCACTGTCTCGTCATAAACAAAAAAGTAGCTTTTCTTAGTACTTCCAACGTGTACACAAAAATTAAAAAGCCAAAATTGTATTTTGTAGAAAACATCTCGGCTGGAAGAGACAGGTAACGGCATATTTTGCTGGCAGTCGAACGTTAGAACCTCCTTTGTTGGATCATCATTAGAGATTTGTGTAAAGGTCTTCAAATCGGAATAAAAAGTTTCAGACTTTCTGAGATGAATAGATTTTCGTTGTTCCAATGCCCATCTCTACGCTTCAGTATTTGCTGCGGAAATTTTATTTATTAACTTGTCGCATTTTTGACAAGTATCCGATTTTGGCCTGTCAAAACTTATCTTAAAATTATCTGCAAAATGTTTTCTAAAAAACTAGTACTTTACAATAGGGTTATTTGTCTCATTTTTTTGAGCTAACACGTATTGACGAGGTTCGTATTTCTTTAGGTATAAATCATACATTTTAGAGACATTTAATATAGGTGACAGATAGTAATGATGCAAGTTGTCTTTTCTACTATAGTGCGATTTGTACCCTGGGAAACTTCTCGAACTTGAGCGACAATATCATCAGGTATTTTGTTTGGACTGTTTGCATGTTTTCCCCTGTGATCAGTCGGAGCTGTGATATTTCCATTGGCTAAATATTTCTGCAATCTCTCGAGCCTACTTTTTGTGATCTTATTGTGACGAAAGTCTAATTTATTTAAAGTTTATTTATTTAAAAACACACTACTTACAATTTATTTCAGACGTACTATTTAATTTATGTAATATTTAGACACTAACTAACAATTCTAATTTATTTCTTACACTTTAACTTTTCAATACAATGTTCTTCATTAAACTAAACTCGGCGCTGATACGTCGGCTATTTATATTAGTCCAAATCCGCTACTGGAAAATACGAGAGGCTCTCGAACATTCCTTTTTATGACTAAGCGGCACTCTCTGCCATTCCAGTCGCTTCCAGTGCTTCAGCGGCAGACATTCCGTCGTATTCTTTTACATTCGAGACGCGGTCCGGCTGTTTCCACACGTCAGCGTTGCTTCGATCACGAATTGGTTGCCATGTGAAGACCGCGTGCGAACACAGGCACAGGGTCGGATTAGGGATATCATGACATTATGTATTGATAGAAACGATTTTTGACAAATTTTGTGTTCTTTACCAAGTGCACGAACCTGAAAGAAACAAGAATATTGGGTATTTAATAACGAAAAACTTTAGAATGGTTGGTGTATTTCTTGTAGGTACCTTGTAAGAAAAGGTTGAGGCTTCTGTTTTTCCTTCTGATCGTAATCTCTGGCGCGAAACGTCGCACCTTTTTATCAATCCATAAAGGTAAGAATCTTGAAGATCTTTAATGGAAATCGAATAAAAATCAGAAAATATCCTCTTGCAGCATTCTTCGCCAACATTTTCAAAACATCGGTTTTTGCAGTTACAGTTTGGTCCCATTTCTTTTGCAGGAACAACAGTGCATTTCGGGTTTTTGTAGGTTGAGCCCGAAGTTCTGGCAGCTTTTCTAATATTTCTCTGCCATAGCTTTACACGATTTTTTCCTCTTTTTGCCACTCTGAGGTGGAAGTTTACCAGTTTCTAACTTGTTTGCCTCAGAAGCTTCGTTGCTGCTAGATACTTCACTATCAGTGGACCTCACAAAGTTTTCAACGGTTTGCAGATTGTTTACACTTCTAACTTTTTGTTGTGCTTGTCGCCTCGCTTGTTGGCAAAGGCCTGAAGTGCTGGGTTGGTTTAAAATAAGTTCATTATTATCGGCTGAACTACTGGAATCTGATGAAGCTGATGAGTAATCTAATTTCTTTGAATTTTGTAGGTTATGTTTGACTTTTTTAACAAATTTTGACTTAATATCGTTTTCTGGTACATATTCTTTGTCGCTATCAGAATCGTATGGGTCTGTACCAGAGATATCATCATCCGACGAAATTTTTTTCGATTTTTTACCACGTTTTTTATTTAAAACACATCACAAAAAACCTTTACAACAATAAACGTCCACAATTACAACACTTTGCAATAACCAGGCAAGTCCGTGACTAACCCGGTTTTTGCACGGGATCGACAGGCAGGCAACCAACAATACACCTATAACTTTGTCATTTATACGAATTTGGGCCCGGTTCTTGCACAGGACGGTGCAGGATTTCATACTGAGCAAGAATAAATATATATCTCAATTTCGGTAAAATATGGACTTGCCCGGTTTTTACATTGGACCCCTCAATTGTTATTTTTTAACGAAAAATTATTTTGAAATTTTCTGTAGTTTCAGCCAAAAATCCAAGAAGTTCAAAATGGCGGTAATATCTTACCTGAAGAGGACAGTTGTGTAATAGCTGAGGTATCAGAATCTAAAGAAGAAGAAGCAGCCAATGTAAGTAAAAAAAAACAAAACATAAACATCTCTATATTTATACAAAAATTGCTACCATTGGGTGGTATGAATAAAACCAAAGTATATACTCGGAGCATCTACTAATGAGCATGAGCATTTAGTAAAAGTTTCTACTCCATTTCATATGAATAAAAATGATAAATTTCGAAAAGTACCTACTCTGGCCTAATTAAGTATATACTCTTATATACATCCGTTCACTCTGCCGAATTGACAAAATAATGTAAACATAAACAAGCTGGTATGGGCATTTAAAAAACTGAATACTATTTAAAACATTTAATTTTCGTTTATTTTTCAAGGGTTTAAGGTTTATTAATTTTAGTTCGAGTTAAAAATTTAAAAAATGAGCAGTGACGAAGACAGTAAAAGTAAAAAAAGTGATTTGCAAATATCATTTGCATTATTGCTTCAAAAATATCCTGTAGTGTTTTCAAAATCTCAAATACCAGAGATTAGAAAAAAAAATTTGGCTTTACAAAATTTGAAACAAGTAAGTTGTTAAAAAAGAAATCGATGTTGATGTTGCTGTTGCAGGATGTAGCCAAGAAGTTCAGTGTGATGTACCTAAAAAAAATTAAAATTTTCCATAATAGTAAAACTCTAAATGCCCTAAGTAATTATGAAACCAATCTGACTAGAAAACTGTCCACTCAACAACTACAACGACTTGTATTGTTAAAGCAATTAAAAGTTTTAGAACTCAAAAGTTGCAACAGGAATTAATGGCGCAAAAGCCTGATTCCAACTTTACTTTTGTGCGCGAAGAAAATAAAACATTTTTCGATTTGCATTAATATTATCCAATTCATAACCATTATAACCAATATCATACTTATATAGTTCTTAATAATTTTATACCTAATTATGTAAAAAATATTGTTGTTGGATAATAAATAAAATATTATTGACTATTTACCTTAATTATGATTTGCGTTTCTGTTGTTCTCTTATTCTAATATAATCTACTTCTTCTTGATCTTCGTTTGTAGTAGGAACCCTTTCGTCAACGAGAAGTTCTGGAAAATCTAGTTCATCTTTGCAACTTTGCAACGTTATGAAGAATACAGCAAGATATAACATTTTTGGGAATTTCGTCTGTGGATAATCGGACTTTATATTGAAGGATTGGAAACCTATGCTTTAATTGACCAAAGCATCTCTCAATAATAACACGTTCTCTGGTAAACAATCTGTTAAATGCTCGCTCTTCGATAGTTATAGGATTTCAAAATGGTACCATCAACCATGGAGCTATCCCATATCCTTCATCTCCTAACAGCACTGCTTCATTTCTTCTTAACATAGTTTTTGAAAGCATCGGAATTCCTCCAGATTCTCGAATCATGAACAGAACCTGGCCAGGATGCATCAATACTCATGAAACATTCGCAAGTAGCTTGCACGTTAATACTTGGATATCCCTTTCTGTTGATATATTCGTCACCATGGTGTGAAGGCGTCCTAATTCTAATATGTGTGCAATCAATTACACCGATTGCACATGGAAAATTGTAACGAATCTGCCATTTTTCTTTTGCCCGTAAAATATCAGCTGGATTTTGTGGAAATTGTATCCAATCATAAGCCTTCATTACTAACTTGTCCATGATGTCAGCAACAATTTTTGATACGAAAGTTTGATGAAGTCCAATGTCTTCTCCTACTCCTGATTGAAAACCGGGATCACCAATGTATCTTAAAACTATTTTCATTTTATCCGTATTGGGTAAGGCACCACTTCTTCTCTCCTCTTTTTCTCTCCCAAAAATTGTATGTGATATGAGTTGAAAATTTTCTTCAGAAAATCGACATTAACTTTTTAAAATCACGATGTGTAGTATTCCGTCTAGGATTATATTGTTTTTAGAACACACATTAAACATAAATTCCGCCATTTAACTTATTTGAAAACATAAAAGAAGGCTTATACTCACCGACTGAGTTTGATCATTAGCAGACTCCGATTTATCGAAGTACATACTCAATTGTGATAGAAGGAACTAATTTTTATTCATATCAAAATATAACTTATACTCAATTATTTTGTACATAAGAGTAGATACTCGAGAGTAGATACTCTTCCACATTTTTATTATTACGAAATGAAGTATATACTTTTAATTTTGAAGTATAAAGTATATACTCAGTTTTATTCATACCACCCAATGTCTAAACCTTTTTAAATGTGTGGTTTTTACTTTTCGGCATACGCAACAAAACTAAAGTCTGATACAGTAACCGTTTGTATAACTGATAATGAAAATATTGAGAATTGTTTACTACAAAAGGAATATTCCAATAGTTAAGCCTCGAACAGGCCTAGAAAACCATTAACAAACAAACCATTCATATTCTATTATTGACCCAAAATTTTATTATGTAAAGATTTAGTAACAGTAATATGAATAATATCGTGAGAAGGTAGCATAACATTTAGAAAAAGGACAAAAAAAAAGACCTAGAATAAGTAAAACAGGCTAAAAAATTTACGTATTTACTTTTTATACAGAAATAAATTTGTTTACTGCATCTTTTTTATTCTAAATATAGTAATAATTTTTTCAGGAAACCAATCTTGTAAGGACTAGACAGGATTCTACAGACTTTAAAGTTAGGTTAAGAAAAGAACTAGTGAGCAGAGATGGTCACAAGTACGTATATTTTCAGTGAAAATCAATTTCGGTATTCAATTTTCTCTTTAAACGTTTTTTAGAGAGCTGGCGAAAAATACGAAGTTCGTCAACTTGGCCTTTGTTGATCCGCAAAAGGAAAAATCATATCATTTACATATAGAATCGTTCTCAAGCTTTACGTTGCTCATGTTTTTACTTGTAAGATTAGCCGTAGGATGTACGATAGCCATAGTGTTACCGAGGTAAGTCAGAAAAAATTATCATTAAATATGTATTTTGAAACTGATAGGTTTTTAAAAAACAATTTTTATCATTTAAAATGTTCACGTCTTTTCTTGACGAAAGCTAGACAAAATCTACTTAATACTACATGGAAATTAACACAAAAAGATTAGAAGTACAAGCGAAGCATTGAAATGGATATGATAAGAATAAATATAATATGTCTAAAAGTCAGCTATATGTGTCCGAATTTTCTGGAATTTCTTCCATATCGACAGTTTCTTTTTCTTTGGTTTTTGAATTTTGGCATCTTCTTCTTATAAAAATGTATAAAAATACCTGGTCGATTTCTATTTGTTGAATCCCCCACAAATATTAAATACGGCCCTAAAGCACGCTTACCAAAATGGACTGTTTCCTGTAGACGCTGGCTGCAACCACCTCCATGTGAAAAATGAAAGTTCAACATTTTTTCTAAAAATACTTTATTGTGCACAAACGTTGCACGACAAAACTTTGTAAATATTCACATTTGTTTTTACTAACTACTGCTTACATATTACTAGCACTTTACATTATCCTTACTCAAAGAATTTCGTATTTTCTATGTATGGGAGAGACGACCCTTATTGTGAGAAAGCTCGAATCGCTCTGCCGGTTTTTTATGTTTTTACGAAAGCATATGATTACGTCACTCCGACCAGTTTCGCGCTCGAGATGCCTGACTTTTGTCACGTATGCGCCTGTAAATAACCGTTGAGAATGAACACCTGGCTTTTTGAGCACAGGACCGTCTTTTGTATGTTTCAAAATTCTTTATTTTGAAACAATACCATTATACATAAAATAATTAATGTTGGAATTGTTGCTATTATTGGAATTTGGTAAGAGTCCCTCGGTTCTTCTATCGGCGATAGCTGTTTGACGATTCTATTGATTTCGTATAGGTTATCGAAATTTATTTTAGTAATATTTGAGGTTTGATAATTTCTTCGAAGTTCAATTTTAAGTTTTGGTATGATTAGTGTTTTGCTCATTTGTATTTCGTGTTCATTTGAAAATTTAAATTCTTTTGTCGTGATTTTACAGCCCTCTGGAATGCGAACAAGGGTTGGATTCTGAATTTTGAAAATTTGGTTGCTTCTACAATGTGACTTAACGTTTTCTGGCCACTTGGGAATAATTATGATTTGATTATTAGTAATTTGTTCAAATATTGATTCTTGCAAGTTCACTTCTGGTGACTGGCCATCGAGAAGTTTTAAAGTACAATTATCCTTCGGAATAAAATCTTGTTTCAATTGGACTTTTTCTTTGTTTCGTGCCAAGTATGGTTATGAAGGTGTAAACATTTTATTATTTTGGATTACGGGATATATTTGATACAATTCTAAGGATTCTACTTTTGAGATAGGGACGTGGATAGCAAAAATTAATTTTGATTTGGAAAAGGTAACTTGAGTACCAAGAAAGGTATAGTATGTTAAGATATTATTAAATTGTGGAATTTCTTGTTTTTTTGGAAATTTTCTGTAAATATTTTATTTCGTAGCTTGATATTATAGAACTGTGCAGAGTGTTCATTTTAGAACAGAGAATTGCATTTTCAATATTGTCTATAAATGATATTAAATTTTGACAGTCAAGATTGATTTGGCTAATTGTTCCTTGGAAGGTTATATATCTGCTCAAAGAATCAATTTCGTTATATATAGCAGCTTGGAATCTTTTTAGATTATCATAAAGTTTTTGTTGATTTTTCCATAATATTGTTAATGATTGATTATAATGATCGATTAATTTTTTTAAATAATGAAGTTTGTAAATTAATTTCGTTTGTAATTTGTGTTTGATTTTCCTGCAAAAGTTTAATGGCACTATCGTGGCGGTCTTTTCCAACCCCGTTTATTATGCCTCTTTTTGAACGCATATGAGGATATAAATTTTGAAATTTTCTTCCTAAAGAATTTATCAGAAATTCGGTTCTTTCAAGCATATTTTCGCTCAAGCCATGGTATGAAATAGAGTTTGAAATGTTATTTTTTACTACAGTTTATTTATAGAAAAATGAATATGCAATAATTCTATTTGTCTAAGAACTACTCTTAAATCTAAGTAATGAATAAATGTGTGCTTTGTATAGATTAAACTAGCGTTGCCTAACTCTATGGGAAGAATAAGATTTTTAAGGGGGTTATACTTATTTCTTCGGTACTACATTCTAGTTTAGACGTTTGAAGGACCAGGTACAGCAGGATCATCAGCGATTTCATTGTCCTCGTTACCATGTAAAACGCTTTCTAAATTAATTTTAGGTTTCCTAATAATACTCTTGTGATAGGTGCCTTTGTTTGTTTTCAACAAGACACCGCCATATTATTTCTGTATTTTAAATTTGAGCAATTTTTTATCATGTAATTTAGTACGAACATAAGCAATTTCTTGACCTGAATAGTCGGAGGGATCAAAACGATTTTTATTGGCTTTATTAAGGAAATTATCCTTGACCTTCTCATTACGTTCCTTAACAATTTTTGTGGTTTTGGATATAAAAAGAAAGAATATGGTGATAATCGAGATCAAAGGGCTCAGGGTTGTTAAAAATGTCCTTTTATTATCTGAAACGGGGTGAATTTTATAGCAGAATGTATCGAATTGTTATAACTTAATATTATATGCTTAATTAATTGATTGCACTATAATTCGATATTTTGTTCTTTTAAACACCTATAATGCTCTATTAAACTAGAGTGGAAACGCTTCACTGGAGAATTTGAGGTGCTATTTTTCGCCGTTGTGAAATGAAGTTCTATTGGATATGTTTTGTAACGAATTAAATAAATTTTTAGAATCACAGAATGAAAAATGCGATTAAAACTTGTTCGTAGGTGACATTAATATTGACTTACTAGAGAATATAAGGGAATGTAAAAATTATCTAGATATTTTAAGTGCATATGGATATATGTCTACAATAAATACACCTACCAGAGTGAAAAAGGATTCCAAAACTTGTTTGGACCACATGTTTATACATACAAAAAGTAATAATTATGATATGATAATACCCATGACTATTGCAACTTCCATTACTGATCATTACACAACAATGATGCAAATTATTTTTGAAAAATAATAAATTAATACAAACAATAAAAATAAATTTAAAAAAATAATTTCATTAAACAAATTAATGGATAACATACAAATTATTAACTGGAACAACATACTTGATGAACCAGACCTAGAAATACAAACGAAAAAATAATTCAGGCTATTCAAAATACCATAAATAAATCCACAATGAATATAAAATTAAAACATAATCAAAGAAAAAGAAAAGATTGGATAACACCGTCACTAATAAAATGCGTAAATAAAAAAAATAAGCTCTACACCAAACATAAGAAGGATATTAATAATGAAAATTTTAAATTAGAGTACTTGAGGTATAAAAATATCACAGAAAAATTAATAAAAGAAGCAAAATTATCTTATTATAAAAAGAAAGTAGAAAAGGAGAAAAATTCATCAAGAAGGCTCTGGAATTTAGTTAATGAAGTAATTTCTAAAGGTACACAAAATAAAATACTAACTCTTAAAGAAAACGAAAAAATATTAATGATGGGCAAAAATTATCAAATATTTTTAAATAAACATCGGCAAAACTCTGGCAAGTAAGATTAAAAAACCAAAAAAACCAAAAAACCATAAAGATAGCAGGACTGTAAATTGTCAATCTATATATTTTGTACCAACAAATGAAACCAAGATAAAAAATATATATGAACTAAAATCTAAAAAAGATCCTGGGTATGACAAAATCAGTGCTGAAGTACTAAAGGTCATTGTAAATTATATAAAATACCCATTAACTGTAATAATAAATAAATCACTTATAATGGGAGTGTTTCCTGAACCATTCAAAAACATCATTGTTACACCAATCTACAAAAATGGAAATAAATATGACGTATAAAATTACAGACCTATTTCTTTTATATCTAGCTTAGCCAAAGTATTAGAAAAGGTAGTCAAAAAAAGAGTTAATAGTTTTCTTGAAAAATACCAATTTTAAAATCTCAATTTGGATTTCGAGAGGGAAAATCATCCCAAGATGCAAAACTTGAACTGACTAGCACTATTTATGACTCTACAGACAAAGGAGAAACAGTAATTGGTGTTTTTATTGACTTAGCAAAGGCGTTTGACACTGTTGATCATACTATATTGTTAGATGTTATTGAAAACATAGGGATAAGGAACAAAGCACACGATTTTTTCAAGAGCTATTTGCAGAACAGACAACAACAAGTAAAAGTAAATAATATGTTTAGTCAAACAAAAGACATGTGTGGAGTACCACAAGGGACGGTGTTGGGCCCTTGGCTATTTACAATTTACATAAATGATTTATTTTTACTAGAAAACGATGGCCAAAAATAATAAGTTTTACTGATGACACTGTGATCATTTATAAAGGAAATAATTATTATGACTTAAAACTAAAAATTTGTGCTACCAGTATCGATCAATATTTTTAGTGGTGGTTTCGAAAATTCAATATATGGCAGAGGGTTATTAGAAGTAATATTTAATTCTACTAACTCAGGGTTTCCTTCAGAATTAAAACAATTGACATCATTTTCAAATTGATGATTATCATTTTGTTCAAACTTTAAAAATGAATTATCATAATTGTCACCTCTATCATCTTTATTTAAAATAATATCATTACAAAATATAGTAATAATGAATTTAAGATACATATCGGATCCATTTTTGCAAAAATATTGATTTAAAAACGTACATGGGCCCTTTATCCAATTGTGTTCATCTTAGTTTAAAATTTCTTATTTGGATAGGTCCTTGGTCTTTATTTGAAAGAATATCATAACAGCACAATGAATTTTAGGTACATCGACCCTACATTTATGTAAATACATCGATTTAAAAAATGTAAATCGGCCCTATATTGACGTATTTATTAATTTATATAATTTCTTTTTTAGTGATTTAACGATAGACATTACGTATTGTACAGAAAACATTGTGTTCTTCGTATTAGTTATTATCGCCATAGCAGAAGAATTTCCAGGATTGGTAAGTCTTTTTATTTTTCTAAAATAAAAAAATGAAGCTAAAGAAGTTGTGGATGCGTGCGCCATTAGTAATGAACAAAGAAATATGTTAACCGATGATATTTTCAGTCGAAATGCTGGCGGGCCTTTAAAGAATCAATGTTTATTAGAAGACTGCTCTCGACCACTTGTATTGTACTGATGGGAACTGTAAATATTTTGGATTCCGTAAGTTTTTTTTTTTTTAATAATTTTGATTTTTAGTAGATGTGAAGTGTGGGTCCTGTGTGACTCATTTCATACTTTTAAATTAGGAATGGTGGGGGGGGGGTAAGAATGTCACCAAAACAGTTTTAGGGGTGGATAAACTATCACTTTGGCGATGTTTCTTTATTATTCATTAACCATTTATATTTTCAATGGTAAGGGAGGGAGTAAACATTGGTGGGGATATAAATGTAGTAAGGTTTAGTCACAGAAGCTGACTCCTATTAATATGTAGTTTTAATTATTACCCATTATTTACATTAAATTTATAGAAATCTGCAAACATCCATCCACTTTTTATTTAACATCAGGTGGCTATGATTTTTTTCTGTACGTTTTTATTCCTGAAATATGAAATATGAAAATAAAGTATAGCTTATACCACTTCATTTTTAAATTAAGAAGAGCGAATATATTTATACAAGGAAAGTTACTAAAAAAATTACTAGATATCATTTTAGCAGTAAATGTGAATCTGATTTCAAAGCAAAACGTTTTAAAATAAATAGAGGTGACATTACTAAATTAGGTTCACTAGATTTTTTAATTTTTTGCTACATACGTTTAATTTTTTAACCATGCCACGCCATTCTACTGTTCGTTTAGAAATAAGCTTAATTTATAATGCAGTAACTATTTTTAACATAATAAATTGAGGACAATAAATCTGATGAAGATGGCTAAATACCGTACGGGTTAGGTAATCTAATTTATTTCAAGATATTTTCAACAAAATGTCTACCATGCCAATCCTCAATATTGTTTATCAGCTGTTTTTAATTTGTCATTTTTCTATAGCCAACTGGACGTTAAATAAAAAAATGAATGGATAATATAACTTTTTACTTTTGTATTTAAAATGTATTTATTGGATAACTGAATTTAATTTTTTTTTAGGTGTCTTGTGTTCAATTCAAAAAACAATCGGAAAATTGTTCGACCATTCCCGACTTGGACGCCAGCTGCCTCTACCCGTCTTATTTCAGTTACTTTACCGTTCTTATCCTTATTGCGGCATCCTTGCCGGCATGTCTGTCCTACATGTGGAAGAGTTTTTTGATGATGATCATCGCCGTGGGTCAATGTTTGGTCAATATTTTGTTACTTGGATTCGCGATCGATTGCGAGGAATCGATGAAGCATTGGACGAGGTAAAGCATTTTTTATATATTCAAATAGGGGACGATAACAATGTTTATCGTCAACCTTCGATAGAGTTTTAAAAGTAAACAAACACTTTTTCTCTAATATTTATCAACATAGCGCTAATTGTATGATATTAAATACAAATCGTTCCAGCAAAAAAAAGGTTAACATTAGTAAAAGAAAAAATGTTTTTTTTGAAACAAAATGAAAGATATAATAAAATGTTATAATTTAAAATAACTCCATTTGTAAAATCGTAAATTTTTACTGTCAGCGATAAAAGTGTCTTTATCAAATTCGCCTGTTGCTTATCGATCGCTTGGCTCATAATCTCAGACTAGTTCGATAAAGAATAAATTGCCGATTTGGTACAAAAATAATTGGTATTCGGTTAATAGATTACAATGGTTAAGATAATGAAACCATTTATGTATAATAAACATGAAAATCACTATAAGCAACAAATGCTGCTCATAACTGAATACTTAAATACAATTATTAAGGTAAATAATAAAATTTTTACATTTGACGACATAAATACTAAAGGTAATTATTAATTACTGATAAAATAAAACCAAATAATCAAAACAGGCTAATACAGTTAGAATATGTCACTAATTGAGAATATTTTTGACAAAACTTTTATTAAGAAAATTATATTTACAAAATTATAAATAAAGACTTAGAAGAGAGTAAGTATTGCACTCGTATCTTGGGCCAGCTTTTTTTTTCAAAAACACATCAATCTTAAAAATACGAGTATTATGCAAACAATCTTTTGAAGATATTAAAATTAAGATTGGAGTATTTTTTGTTAAAATTGGCAGTATTAGTTACATAATGATTTTTTAAGTACTAATTTTTAAGGTCTCCAAATAAATTTTCAAATGCCCTAAGGTACGAACCTGCTTTGTACCTTGAGCAGAAGAGTATTGCACCTTAAACTATACTAAAAAACATTTATAAAACAATAAAAAAGGTACTGTAAAATAAATAATTTGATTATTATTCAAGGTGATATGCCAAAATTTATAGAAGTCAACTGGAATGCCTTTCTTTGTGAACCTCCCACACTAATATATTTGAGTAACTTCACAATAAAGTCTCTTTTTTACAAATCTATTATCTGTATCACTATCTTTTTTTAAATATTTGACCGTAAACTATTCTTTATCATTATCAACTACATCTACCACATAATACTGTTTTCTTCTTATTCCTTCCTCATTTTTTCATTAGTACCATTATTTGCATTATTTTTGATCAGTGTCCACAAACAGAGGCCAATCAACATCATCAGAATCAAACTATTTCAATCCATCGGTATCTGATGAGGATTTGGAGTTTTCTTCCACTATCTTTCTAGTTACATTCTGAACTCTGAACTGTTTTTTTATAGCAAGTCTCTTCTTATATTTATTCATTTTATTTAATTCAATTTATTCAATATAGGTTACAATAATTTTTTTATAATACAGTAATAGAAAAAGATACCTCACAATATTATACCCACGCTAGGCACAGTTGCCTGTCTGGTCCAGTACAATATTATGAGGTATTAAAATGTAATGCGTAATAAATCAGATGTGTGTTTACATGAGAATTAGAAGAAAAAAAAACTTTAATACAACTAAAATAAATAGAGATAATTACAACTAAGGCGGGAGAGAGAATGGATGTTGGCAGACGTTTTCGATTTCAGAGCAAGGAGATTTATTGAATAGAAGTATGTTAGTATATTATAATATAATATATATTTTCAGTTAATAATGGTATGATGATTTGGTTACTGTAAGGTGTATTTTATGGTATATGTATATTACTAAGTAATTTTGAATTTATCAGGGTGTTCATATAAATAATTTTTTATTTCTCTTCTATATTTTTTATAATTATTTATTTCCTTTAAAGGTTTTGGTAATATATTATAGAATTTTGGTCCATAAAAAAGAAAGGAAATTTTGTGTTACTTTGTATTTATTGTATGTAACAAATGTTTATGTTGATGGTAAATCCTTGTGAGACATTGGTAGGCATAAATTAATTTAACGTTTAATATCCCTGTTTCTTGATATAGATCATGTGTAGGATAGAGTCTATTTTTTTTAAAGGCAATTTTCAAGATTAAGTTTTGCGCTGTTTGTAGATGACTAACTGTTGATTTGAATGCCGCTCCCCAAGCAGTTATACACTATCTGATTATTGATTTAACAATGGACGTGTATAAAATGGTCAAATTTTTTTTAGATAGAATATCACGAAGTTCATAAAATTTATGCATTAAAACTCTTGTACGTTTTGTCAAATAATGATCTGTCCATCTTAAATTTTGATCTATGATTATTCCAAAATATTTTATAGAGTTAGTTTTCTCAACACATTGGCAATTATAGTCAACGGCTTTATTGCATTGGTGTTTATGTATGTTGATTGTTAGGTTTCTTGGTTGGTCTACTATAGTTGAGGAAAAAGCAATGCATTTAGTTTTCTTTATATTTAGAGATAGCCTATTATGATTTTGCCAATTGTTAATTTTTTTTAAATTAGATTCCGCGATACTGAAAGTATTTTCCCATGTTGAGCTAGTGAATATTAAAGCTGTATCATCGGCGTAACATACATGCCTGAACTAAGTCCATACTCCAAACTCAAAGAAGAACTAATATTTAGCAATAATGTCATACTAAGAGGTAATCGTATAGTTCTTCCAACATCGTTACAACGAACAGCAGTTGAACTTGCACATAAGGGTCACTTAGGAATCACAAAAACAAAACAACTCCTAAGGACTAAAGTATGGTTTCCTAATCTGGATATTATCACTGAAACATTCATTAAATCGTGCATACCGTGTCAGGCAGTCACAAAGTCCACTCAACGAAATCCTATCATTCAAAGTCAACTACCGGATTATCCTTTTCAATGCATTGATGTTGATTATGCGGGACCTTTTCAAAACAAGAAATATATTTTTATAATAGTAGACGAATACTCCAGATATCCCATAATTGAGGTAACTAACTCAACATCTTTTATGCATGTGAAACCAGTTCTCGAAAACATTTTCTCAACATGGGGTTTTCCAAAATCATTCAAGTCAGACAATGGACCACCATTCAACAGCCTTGAATTAGCAGATTTCTTAAATAGTTTTGGTATCAAACATGTAAGAATAACACCATACTGGCCTGAAGCTAATGGGATGGCAGAAAGGTTTGTCAAAACTGTAAAAAAGGCACTCCTTTGTACCCACTTAGAACATGGACATTTCACGTCAAAAATTCAGCAATTTCTAGTTAACTACAGAAGCACACCACATTCAACTACAGAAAAATCTCCATATGAAGTCATATTTGGAAGAAAAATGAATTATTACTTGCCAACAATAGATGAATATGAACAAGACAAAATGCTAATAAATACAGATCAGAAAAACAAACAAAAGCAAAAGATCTATGCTGATAACAAAAGAAGAACAAAAACTCACAACTTCAAAGAAGGAGATCTAGTACTATGCAAACAAGTTCAAAAGAATAATTTAATACCTTATTTTGACCCGAAGCCATACAGAGTAAGTAAAATTATGGGCTCCACTGTACAAGTCAAAAGAGGAGAAGAAGTTAAAACAAGAAATTCTTCATTCTTTAAGAAGTTAAATTTGAGAAAACCAATTACACAAACGATACCTAAACACGAAGATCCACCCTTATTTAGCCAAGCAGCACCAAGATTTACACGCTGGATGTTCAATACCACTACTTACTTACCACACAACATCTTACCCCCCACACCAGAAAGCATTGAAATATTTCACGAAAGATCACCCAGCGAAGAAAATTCATCTGAAGAGAGAGAGGAAGAAATAAATAATCCGCTATTGCAGATATTAAATTTATTTGAAGATTCAAATAGTTCAATCGAAATTATAGAAGAAAACAAAACTAGTGAAGATACAACTTCATCAGAAGAATATTTAGACTCCATGACAAGTCTATCTGACTCTCAAGAGGAGAATGAATCGTTATTCAACCAAAGAAGTTTGAGACCCAGAAGTCACCTAAGAAAACCGGAGTATCTCAACGATTACGATAATAATTAAAAAAAAAAAAGTTAAATGTATTTTTTTGTTTAAAGTAAGGCGAGAATGTAGTATATATAAAATATATATCTATGAATCTTTCATCTATATGATCATGAATGTATCATCTAGCTTATTAAAATTATTTATTTTAGTGATACTGTTAATATATATTAGGAACAGTATTGGTCCCAATACTGTTCCTTGTGGTACCCCAGTCTGGATCGTAGATTCTGAACTAGTATAAATCCCTAGTTTCACTCGTTGAGTTCTAAAATAATTTTTTATTAAATCTTATGCAAAGCCTCTAATGCCATGTTTAATTTTTCTATTAATACATAGTGATCAACGGTGTCGAAGGCCTTGGCAAGATCCAAAAAAACTGCAAGGCATTTTGATGATTCGTCCAAGGCCCTCACTGTTGTATTTAAAAATTCCATTATGGCATTTTCGGCATTGGAGTTTTTAAATATTATGTTAAAATATTAAAAAATACTTTTTTTAAGAATTTTTGTGAAATTCTTTATATTTTTAAATAAAAATGCCATTTATTACAGCAGGACAAAAGTGATCATAAACGGCTCGCATGACAATATGTTTGTTCATGAGAAAGATGCTAACATGAAAATAATTCACCGTATTGCAAAACACACTAGAAAAGCTAATAAACCATAATGATTGTCATTAAATACTTATTAAATGTTGTATAATAATTAAAATTCCATTTACTGTCTCTGTTACTTTCTAATCTTCATATTGACCTAGTTATCGCAGCCTGAGCTTTGATTTATACGGCAGACGTTCCAATTGTTTTGTATGCATCTTCCGTAGGTTATATACCCGGAAAGTTTTAATGTTCTAATTCGCTATAAAATGGAGAAAGCGACCTTGAACTTGTCGCGTTTGAAAGCAACGATCAGGAAATATGTCGTTGGCTTCATTCCAGGTCGCTCTCTCGCCTTCGGAATGCTTTGTCCCGTTTAAATGGGGGATTAATGTGTTTCTTATTTTTATCAGCATTGTTATTAAGCGTTTGTATATTTTTTTCAGCTTAATCCAAGGAAAATACACCTTATCGGGGCTATTGATAACGGCAACATTGGCACTGGCTTTCCTGGCAAGGCACGTAGGTATCATAGAGATTTTAACTAGTAATTATTTAATTTTTGTTTATTTAATTGTATTTTTGACATTAATAAAACACCAAAACAGTAGGTACCTTGTACATTTTCTCATAGTGGCATTCTAGAAATATTTTGGTTACATTCGACTTTAGGGACACACTGTTTGACCAATTTCACTTTGTTTTTTTATTTAATGATATTAAGTATGATTTTAACTCACCTTAGGTTTAGAAATACGAAAAAAAGTATAAATCAATTATATATTTTACAAAAATATTAATGGTTCTTTGTTTATATGTTTTATTCTTGGATCTTTGTTAGAGGTTGGGGAAGGATGTTTGATATCGATTATACTATTTGAATTGCAATGATTCCAGGTCGTATAAATATGATGTATGACGTATGACCGGGTAGCGGAGAATTTAGAGTGAACAGTTATGTTAAATGAGTCAAATAAAATGATTTTGTAACATTGTATTTCTGGAAATGTCAATAAGTTAAAAAACTTACAAAGGATTACTGTTTAATTTTATAAACAATTGTATAAGCTGATATGAACAAATAGGTAATATTTTTTCATCTGTATTAGGGGTCGGGGAGCGATGTTTAATACAGATTCTTGCATTTTATTACAAAATTCTATTATTTTTATTTAAATAAACAAATCATAAAAGTATAATAATTTACATATTAAAATACAACCCTGTACACATATGTCAAAAGATTTGATTAAAAATGTGCAATTTTTGACATTTTAACATTACTTAAATATCGATAATTTCCATTTTTTTTTTTTTATATTTCATGATATATAATTTCTCTACTTTTTAATAGTACAAAAAATATTTTTAAATTTGTGTGTCTTTTAAGTCGAATGTAACCAATATTTTTGTCATTATTTCCTTTTTTCTATTGGTTTTCTCTTCAATATATTCTTTTATTGCATCCATATATATTGTTGAAGAAAATCTTCCAAATTTAAGAAATTTCAATCAATTGAAGATCTCAATTCGAGGTCAAATTCTACTTATTTTTCCTATATATTTTCATGTTTTGTCGTTGCTTTAGTTATTTTTCTCCATTTCCTCCTGTTTATTATCTCTTTTCATCTATCATTCCCCATCTTATTCATGTCCTTTATTAGGTCTTCTTAACGAATTTTCGGTCGTTCTTTAGGTCTTTTATTTTGTGGTTGCCATTTCATTGTCTTTTTAATTAACATCATCTTCTTTTTCTCCTTTTTATTCTCCTTGTTCGCCTTCTTATCATCATCATCTTCTTCTTCTTCTTCTTCGTCGTCTCATTCGTCTACTACTTCTCTTTTTCTTCTTCTAATATAGCAGTTAACTCCGTGTTCATAAGACTTCTGTATTTCTTGTCTATTTTCTTTATCCCTACTCTTCTCCTAATTACTGTTCTTTCTAACACTTTCAACCTCTCTTCATCTTTATTAGTTATAGTCTGGTTCACAGGTGCCATTTCGTCCTAAACCTAGTAGCCTAAGAACCCACTGCAAATTTTTACCGTCATCTGATAACGAAATGAAATATGCCCCGAAAACATGTAAATATATTGTACTTTACCAAATGGCACCTGTGCAATTCCCTATCCTAAGCAAAGTGATTATTTTATATTCAAAAATTACATTAGACATGACAGCGCTATGTTTTTAATATAAAATAATTTTTTTAACCCTTTGCTCAGGATATGAATAGACACAGGTGTCATTTGGTAAAGTACCAATGTAGTTACATGCCTTTGGAGCATATTTCATTTCGCTATCAGATGACGGTCAAAATTTGCAATGGGGCTCTCCTACTATAGGCTAGACCACCGAAAAGTATGATTTTGGTCTTATAAGTTTCAAAATGACATCTAAAACCATCCATCAAATGGACAACAGGGGCCGACAAAAATTGCAAAAGTTATAAACAATAACGTAAAAATAAAGAATGGTTTGGTTTTTTGAAAATATTTCAAAAACTAGATGATATATTCAAAATTTCAAAAAAGATCCTTAAAAAGCAGATTATTTCCTATAGAAAAGTTCTACCTCTCGGAACTGCACCAATAATGTTTATAATTTTAATTTAAAGGTAAAAATTGGGCTAAAACCGGGTAGCGGCTGTAGCGGGCACGTCAACCAAATTAGAAGCTGGATCAAAAAAAATATATTTTAACCCAATAAATATTAAGGAATAAAAACATTTCGGTACTATCTAAACACACGAAAAAAACAATAAAACTTAAACAAAAAATGCTTTTCCCAATTTTTTGTTTATAACTTTTGAAATTTTTGTTTGATCCCGTTGTCCACTTGATGGTTTGTTTTAGATGCTATTTCGAATAAATCATAATTTTTGGTGATCCAGCCTAGATTTATAACTAAATGGCAACTGTGTACCAGACTTTTAGGCACATTGTCTCTCCTATATATAATGCATACTCTTTTTACTCATCTTCTTACTACATTCTCTTCATATGTAAAATATGTTTTGTGGCCTGCTTGGATTTTCCGTTTTATTTCTATATTCTTGTTACCAGATATTTCAAGTTCTGTACTCTTTCTTATGTTCGTATTTTTTATTTCTCTTAATCTTAAGTGTCTTCTTTCCAGTTTATTCTAATGTATTTTGTTTTTCTTTGTTTATTTCCTTTGTTTTTGCTGCTTTGTTTGTTGTTGTCCACAACCTATTCTAGGCTCTTTCTGTTTCATGCTACTATACCTCTATATCGTCTGTATTATGCTATAAATTGTATTAATTTTCGTATGATGGATCCTATATTTTCTCACTCTTGTATTATTTCTTCTATAGCTTTATTAAATAATGTTACAGGTAGCCCATCTCCTTGTTCTTATCTTTATTTTTTTTACTTCCTCCTTTGTTTGTACCACTGCTTTTGATCCTTCCATAGTTCTTTTAATAAGCTTTTTTTAGTTTTTATGATAATCTTAGTGCTTTTGATTCTCTCCTTTCTATACTATAGAATCCAAAATTACAGTATGTCCCGCTTTTCATGAGTACACCCTAATATCTCAGTTATTATTAATGCGATTTTATTTAAATATTGGTGGTGATTGTATGTTAAAAAAATAAAGTAATTCGCATACTGACAATTTTTTTTTACCTTCGGCGTTATGTATTGAGAGGTAAAAAAGACTTCATTTTTTTAGGAGAAGGCTATTAGAGGTTATTTTAGATAACTTTTTCTAACAGAATCAGCATTCCAAGAAACTCCTTAATTCATATTTTTAAAATCTCAAGAGTTGATTTTAGCAGAAAATAAATTTAATTCACTTTCTTTATTTGTAACTGTGATAACAAAATTACGATTCACATTATTTTGGATTTTTGTGTTTTTAAAATATCTATCTTTTAAAACAATACACTTTTCAATAATTCTTCTTAAACGTACATTCACTTTTCTTAAAGTTTGAGGAGTAACTTCCTAACACGCTTGCCTAACTCTAAGCAAAGCTGCTCCCTATTACGCAGCCGAATTGCATACACTTTATTTTTCAAGTGCCCATTACAGAAAAAGTCACAAGATGTAATATCCGGTGATCTGGGTGGCCATGGCTCTAAAGGAAAATTTCTACCTATCCACTTCATAGGAAAAGTTGCGTTAAAAAAGTTCCCAACTATCAGAGAATTATGTGCGGGGGCACTATCTAACTGAAAGAATAAGGTGTGTCTCTGTACTAAATGCAATTCCATGAGAAAATCATAAAAATCATTTTGTAAAAAATGTAGAAAATGTTCTTCATTTAGATTATTTAGGAAAAAAGTCCAACAATTCGTTCGTTAAATATTCCACATCGCACGTTAACTTTTTCACTGCATTGATTTTTACAAATAATTCTCCAATTCGGATTTTCGTCCGTAAATATTATGTTCTTTAGAAAAAATCAGTCGTTAAGATAGTTTCCTTGCAACCATAAGAAATTGGTGCTTGATTATGATGCCTTTCATTAAATATTTCAGCAACCTGACGCGTAGATCTTTCATTATTACCAAATAAGCGGATAATTTCTACTTTTTCTCCAATTCTAAGTACTACTCTTCGGTTTTGTGCCATCTTATTAACAGTTAAGTAACACTGCTTGACTTATTTTCATTTCTTACGAATTACTAAATGTCAAACATAAACATTTGTTTCAAAGCACTCTTTGATTACAAAAAGAGAGAGCGCGTATCTTGGCAAAATTAAAAAAAAAATCTAAATGATAGTATAAACAGCATTTACAAGGATACTGAATTTAACAAAAACGGTATAAAGGTGTTTGAAACGCAAAAAGATTAGGGCATTTAAACTTAACAGTTAAAAATAATTAACCTAAAAGAAAAAGGGACTTAAAATAAATTAATTTGTTTTTCTATTAAAATTAGCTCTTGAGATTTTAAAAATATGAATTAAGGGCTTTTTTGGAATGCCGATTCTAAACCTGATAGAAAAAGTTTTGGTATTTTCCAGTTATCTTTTTAGTATATTCCTTCAACTTTTTCAAAATTATTATTGTATTCTATAAGCTGTGTTCAAGAGTCTTAACCTTCTATGATTATCACAGACTTTCTTTGGGTATTGGTGTAATCATTCCTGTTTTCTATTCCTTTGGAATTCTTTCTTGCACTCTTATTCTATTAAAATACACAAACTACCAATAAGTACCACTTTCCTGTGTATTAACAAATATTGAGCTTTAGATGGAAAAAGTCTGCAGAGTGTTGTTTCTTTGGCGGTGCGAAGTGGAAGAACAGCGAGACTGCGCTGAAGATATGAGGCGACGAAATGAAGCCTTGGTGTATAATATTTTACCGCCTCATGTAGCCGCCCATTTCATGGGCAACAGGAAGAGGCAGCACGACGAGCTCTATTCCCAAAGCTACGCCGAAGTTGGGGTATTGTTCGCCTCTATGCCAAACTTCTCAGGTAAGTCTTTATAAAGGCAAGTTATAAAGGGTAACAAGAAACTGAATAAACAATAATGTGTTATTTATCATTCATGAACTAATGATAAAAACAATTATTGTGAGATAAAAATAATTTTGTTTTAGATTTTTACTCCGAGGAAACAGTCAACAATCAAGGATTGGAATGTTTAAGGTTTCTAAATGAAGTTATATCTGATTTTGATGCGGTGAGTGACGATTATATAGTAATAATAATACGTTTTTATTACTCAACAGTTTTAAATTTATAATACAAATTTATTTTAATAATATTTAAGGTTAATTAAGGTTAAAATAAAAATCCAACCAAATTGAATTTTCTACAATTAATATTTTGTTAAAAGTTATTTATTCTGTACATAACTCTTAAGATATAGTTAATCAATTACCCCATCAAATAGTACAAATATATCTCCAGCCACTAGTGGTAGAGAAAGAATCTAATTTCTTAAAAAACTAACAGCCGTATGCATAGTCGATCGCCAGCGACTCGCCAGAGATTCATTTCGGCGTATCGCCAGCGAGTCGCTGGCGATCCGCCGGCGAAAGCCCAAAAAGCTGGCGACTGGCCGGAGATTGTCACCGGAATGTCATTTTACGCAAGTTTTCATGTTCTTTTATAGGGAAAAATTTGATATTCGTTCATTATTTTTTGAGTTTTAAGAAATGAATCATGAATAAAATGCGAGAGATACCGGTGATAATCCCTATAAAAGAAAATAAAAACTTGCGTGAAATGACATTCCGGTGACAATCTCCGGCGAGTCGCCAGCTTTTTGGGCTTTCGCCGGCGGATCGCCAGCGAATCGCTGGCGATACGCCGAAATGAATCTCTGGCGAGTCGCTGGCGATCGACTATGCATACGGCTGTAAAACTATAGGAAAAAAAATTCCGGATCAAGTAAGGGAGTCCAGGGATAGTGTGGACGCTTTATATATAAAAAATACACAAGATTTATAAAGCAAAACGGACCAATTTTAAACAATATTAACAAGGCTATAAGACTACTTTTCTTCTATTTTTAGAGAAATTAATAGCAACCATTTCCAAGCTAATAAACATATTACCAAGGTATGTTCTTGGTCCCCTCTAACCCAGGATTGGGGTCACAGTGGACGAAGACGTATTTTTACAGGGGCTAAAGTGGACACTAAAGAAATATCTACTAAATCAACTTTGATGATCAATACACATTATATCCATGAAAATAAAGATTGAAATGGAAAATATTGATACAATATCCCTTTGATCTACTTGTGATAAGTCTGGCAGATTGGGAAACTTTAATTTTTCGCTTTTCTTGCGTAAGAAATTCACAGAAAACTTATTTTCCTGAAATATCTCTTTCACAAGTCCAACCTTGTACTTGAAGGCTTTTTTTGTAGCAAACCATACCAATATGAACGATCCGACGGCAACTTTCTCGTCATCAATTATTTGACCAATGGAATTGACCGTATCTTATTCTTCATCTTTAAACAAGCCTTCATCTTCTGATTCCGAAGTTATGTTTGTATCTGACTCACTGTCCTAAATGTCATCTTTAGCTGGTTTAAGTTTTTTCGAAAAAAAAAAAAAAAATGCTTTCTTCGCGACTTTTGCGTTTTTGGTTTTACACATAGTTAACTAATTCTTCTTGTTTCTTTTTTTAGCTTTTAGAATTACCCCAATTCCAAGATGTTATAAAAATAAAGACCATAGGATCGACATATATGGCAGCCAGTGGCCTAAATCCATCAAGACAAATGAAGGTAATGTATAAACAAAATAATAAAAGAATTAGCGCCAATAAAATGCTTGAAGTTGTTAAACAAGAGTTTATTCATTATGTACTGATGACTTAAAAATAAACATAAACAAAGTTTATCTCCAAACACAATATTACAGAAATCCTCAACAATAATTAATTAAAAAATTCTACACGACAGAGTCTACATCTGCATCTGCACGAAGCTATCTGAAGACTAATCAACGAAAATGTTTTTAAAGTAGACCGTGAAAAACAAAGACAAATATACGAATCCTGTTCATAATAACTACACACGGTTCTGAATTAAATCTTATCTGACACTTAAAAATAAGTTAAATTGTACGTTTTGACATGGCTGAAATTTTGCAAGGCCTCCTTTAGAAACATATTTACTATATCACTACATACTTCATATGTGTTAGATAACTACTTCTTTTATTATTACTTCAAGATACTTTTAGATACTCTTTCGGCTAAAATTTTCTTTACACGATTATTTTTGTGTAATAATTCTCAAAATTAACACCGTGGTTATTACTATAATTGTTAATGATATCAAAATAAAGAAACTTAACATAAATGGAGAAAGAACAATGCAGGGTTAGGAGTATTGTTTGGGAAATATATTAAGGACAGAGAAAGGTTTAGTCAAAAATAGCCATTTTCTCAGTGTTGCTTTCTTAGAGAAGATAATAAATCTTGAAAATAAGAAATTTTATTGATCCCATTCCCCATTCGTTTTATTGACCTCATCTGTTGCCATGCTTAAATTAATTTATTTTTAAAATTTATTTTTTATATTCTTTACAGCCCGAAGACCCAGTATCAATACGTTGGGCGCACTTAGCAATCCTGGTGGAGTTTGCTTTGGAACTGAAAAAGGCTCTGCAGAGCATCAACGAACAATCCTTCAACCATTTCGTATTAAAATTAGGAATCAATCACGGTCCAATTACGGCTGGGGTAATCGGCGCCAGAAAACCGCATTACGACATTTGGGGTAACACCGTCAATGTGGCATCTAGAATGGAGAGTACTGGGAAAGCAGGGTGTATACAGGTAATAGTACAATAAAAATAGGGGTTTCTATAAAAAAAAACTTTTCAAGTCATTTTATTTATGATTAAGAATAGCTTAAACCAAATTTTCAAAAATCTCCTCTTGGAGAAGTAACCAAAAAATTACAATAAACGATACGTTGAAAATGTTGATTAAAATAAATAAAAAAAAAACAAGATAAAGAGAAACAAAGAAAATTTCAAAAAATAATAGAAGATATAAAAAATAAAGAAGATTTATAAATAAAAATAGGGAAAATGAAAGAAATGATAGAAGTAAATAAAAAAGAAATAAATTAAGAAACAAAAGAAATTGAAACAAATGTGGAATGATTATGAAAATTAAAGCAATAAAAGTAAAAGTAAAGGAAGTTAAAATGGAAGTAGAACAGGTAAAAATTAAAGTAAAATAGGTAAAAATGGAAGTAGAAGAGAATAAATTAATTAAGAAAAAAGCGTCAAAATGTAGAAAAATAAATAAATAAGAATTAAAGAAAAAGTATGAAAGACTGGAAAGAAGGCAATAAATTAAAGAGAAAGGGAAACGACAAGAAAAATAAAAATAAAAGCGATAAAAGTAAAAGTATAAATGGTAAAACTGGAAATAGAAGAGGTAAAAATGGAAATAGAATAAAATCAATTAATCTAGAGAGAGGTAATAATGGAAGTAGAAGTAAATCAATTAATCAAGAAAGAATGGGTCAAAATATAGAAAAATAAATAAATAAGAATGAAGAAGGTAAAAGAAAAACCAAAAATTAAAGAATTAAAGAAAAAAGTATAAAGGAAAGGAACGAAAAAATAAATTAAAGAGAAATATAGAAGACAAGTAACAAGAAAACGTATAAAATCAAGATGAAGAAACTAAAAGTTAAACTAAATTAGGAATAAAATTATACAAAAAAGTTATGAAAGGAAAAATAGAATAGTTGAAGTGAAGGAGGAAAGACAAAGGTGAAAGGAAAATAGTAAAATTTAGATAGGAATAAAAATTTGAAATTTAAAACGACTATCATTGGAAAACGGAAATTAAAAAAAATTATTTAATAAAATAGAGTGAAAGTTGGATATAGTCCATGAATGAAAACGTAAAGACAATACCAGATGCAGTAAGGACAAGTAAAGATTTTGTGAAAAAGATAATTATAGATAAGAAACGTTTGTGTACAAATAAAAGAACAAGAAATATGAATAATTAATGTATTTAAATGTAGGCGAATTTGTGTAACGAAATAGGAATAAATAATGCGGAACAATGAATAAATGTGGTATATTATATATTAATAAATAATACGATATAATAAATAATGTGATTTAATGATAATTACAACATACTATTAAAAATAATATATGATGTATAATGAGGAAATCAAAATGGAAAAGTATATGAAATGAGAAAAAAATATAAAAAATAAATATAAAAGACATATGAGAAGGAAAATAGGTATGAATTAAGAAGTAAGCAAGAAATATTACAAAGTAAAAAAGTAGGTTGAAGTATAAAAAATTTATGAAAATAATGAGTATATTTAGTATATAAGTGTAAATATGAAATATATGAAGTAAGTGTTTTAATATTGAAGATAATTTAAGTGATGTTGATAGTTATGAAAAGTTAAAACAGCAAATAAAAGATAAGAGTGCATTAGCAACAATAATTAACAATTTAAAGAAAAAATATGGATAGTTGGGATAAAAAGGGATAAGAATTAAAAATTAAAAAGTATAAAATATTTTTTTTATTCACCAGTTTATTTAAGAAATATACCGAAGAAACTATAAATTCGAGGAATATAAAAAATTACTGCGAAGCTAAATTAAATGTCATTTAATTGTTAACATTATTTGCTTTTAACAAAAGTTAGGTAAAAAAAAATAAAATGAAATCAAGAGGGTTAAAAATTGGTATGCGATTATTTGTTGGGTTGTTGATTAAGATGTCAGAAAAATATTGGAATTGTCATTGGGATTTTAAGATTTAAAAAGGGTAATTTGAAGAACTCCAAAATATAAATAAATTTTAATAAAAAGGTTGGGAAATGAGATAAGTAGAAGTTAAGATGTGTTGAATATTCGAAGTTAAAAAAGAAAAGAAGAAGAAGAAGAAGAAGAAAAGATAAAAAATTGTATTTATTCTTTTTAGATCATAAATTTAACACTTTAAGAAACTGAACCTACCACAGTTTAAGATTTTGTTTTATTCTGAAGATTGCAGTGAAATTATATATTAATATTTTAGTTTTGTAGACATTTTAGAGTCAAACTACTTAAAAACTATATCGTTTATAAACGACGAAACAAATTGCTTTTCAGACAGCCGCCATTTTTTGTTTGAAGACGACCTAAAGTAACGACCAACAACTACTAGACGAATTTTGTTTACAAAAATTAAATTGCAATTCACGGTGTTATCCACGTAGTTTTTAAATTATTTTGAGAGAGTACCTATGTGAAAGTCTTGCTACAAGGATTGTTAATGGTTTGCAAAAACTGCTCCCTTTAATATAGCTGCCGTCTCGCTCTTTCTAATGCGCCAGCTCTGTCAGCCTAATTTAAGTCACAATTTGAATGCTTACAATAAATAAGGGATTAAGTATTATGAATGAGTGGATTAGTTTAGTAGTTTTTCTTCGTTATCCTAAAATATTTTAGCGATAACTTTGCCTTACCATCAGATCTGGACGGTTTCACTAAATGGCTCAAAATCAGTCGTTTGTTTCTAAACGTTAGCAAAAATGTAGTACAACTTCTTTAACAAGATCCCAACATTATCAAGAATATTTATACCAATATGTCGAGTCTAACATCTGCAGGTAATTTTAAATGCTTGGCTTTATCCAACCCCACACTCGTCACATAATGATACCAAGGCCATTATATCCATTTATAATTCATTGATTTGAAGCGTTCTTGAATAATGTGCTGAAGTCTGAATGCATATCTACATAGGCAACATCAACAGAATTGAACCGGCCAACTAAAGTTCGTTAAGTATATTATCTTTAACTTTCGTGTTTTATGCCAGAGTACTTAACTCATACAAAAATCGTTTTCTATTATTGAATTATTTATTTTATTCCAAACAGGCTATACGCCTAATTATATGGAAATTGAACAAAATAGCAAAACAATGTACGCTAGCATAACTTAGGTCATAATCTTAATTAACACACCTAAAAAATTACATTCTTATGTTTATATACATATCATATATACTCAGTCAAGATTATACCGATCTATCTATTAAAAGATCGATTATATCCTTTTTTAAAAATTTTGAAGAAATATACGAAAATTCAATATCAATTAGTTGATTTATTTCATTAAATCTTCGCAACATTAATAAAAAGGGACATCTTGAGGTAATACCTTTACTAGCTTTTGGCAATAAAAAAAAAGAACATCATGTTTGGTATGGTGGATTGTTGAAATGTATAAGACTTAAAATATTTGTATCATTTATATGCTTATTTACTATATTATATAAAAATATAATTTGTGTTCTGATCACTCTATAATCCGGCCATTGATGATTTTCTTTATAATATAAAAAACGAAGTAGTTCCTTTAGGATTCTCTCTAGCATACTACAATACATTCATAATATGGATGCGTATTCTAATTTAGGTCGGACCAATGTGAAATACAGATGTTTTATTGTGTGTTGAAAACCTTAACTGTTTCTAATAATGAAACCCAACATTTAATTTTGTTTTGCGTTTTTTACAAATTTCTGTAAAATGACTCTCATTCGACAAGCTGGTATCATAACATACGCCTAAATCCCTGACATCAGTTTTTCTCGTAATAATTTCATTTTCAATTAAAAAGAACCCTAGTATTACGAAAGTAAAACTAATTATATAACATTTGTTAATATTAAAAAATAAATTATTAATTATACTCCATTCCTAAATTCTATTAAGATCTCTTTGTAGACGATACACAATCCCTAACGGTTTTTATTTCTTTAAAACATTTAAAATCGACCGCAAATAAAGGACGCTCGCTAAATTCAAGACACCTAAAAAGATCATCGATAAAAATGACAACAGTGGCCCTAGATTGAAACCTTGAGGAACCGATGAATTTATTTGAAATGCATCTGACTCATCTCCTTTATACCTTACTTTATAAAACCTATTTTTTATATAATCATTAACTAAATTGTTTATTCCAAACTTTCCTAACTTCATTAACAGTACTTCATGATCCACCCTGTCGAATACATTTGAAAATCTGTAAATCTGACATCAAGTCCATTATTATTTTCACAGGCTTCATATATTTTGTTTGTAAATAGGAAGAAATTAGGGGCTCACTAATTGCTACTTGCCCATGATGATATAATTTTTTGTATATTATTTATTTAAGTAGGATAGACATTCCTCTACAGTTTGCAATGTTAGTTTTATTATCGGATTTATACAGGGTAGCTGTTAAAGATGGAACCAAACCTATAGTGCTTAAAAGGTTCAACATACAAAACCCAAAATTTCAGAATTTCAACTAAATATATTTGTGCATATTTTAGCCCAAAAATTATTTTTTTATAATTACAAAATTTTAAGCATAGCCGCCATCTTGATTTTTTTAAATAGCAACATAGGTAATGTGATATACCATTTGAAAGGGTTTAACACCCTGTTTACAAAAATGTATCACACATGAGGTCTAAACACAAATGCACAGCCTCCTACGCTCCCTATTAATAATATCCTTTTTGTTGTATTTGGACCCCATGTGTGATACATTTTTGTAAACAGGGTGTTAAACCCTTTCAAATGGTACATCACATGACCTATGTTGCTATTTAAAAAAATTAAGATGGCGGCCATGCTTAAAATTTAGTAATTATAAAAAAATAATTTTTGGGCTAAAATATGCGCAAATATATTTAGTTGAAATTCTGAAATTTTGGGATTTGTATGTTGAACCGTTTAAGTACTATAGGTTTGGTTCCATCTTTAACAGCTACCCTGTATAAAGGAGCACTGTTTTCAACACTTGGAAAAATAATCCTCTGCTCAAAGCTAAGTTAAAAATAAACAAAAGCGAAACTACCTTTTAAGCTGTCTAATTTTGTATTATGTCCTACAATTTCTGTTAAATTAAAATTCCCAAAGATATATACAACTTATCTTTTACTAAATCCTGAATACTTTGAAAATAGTACATTATATACCTAGGGTGAGAAGTGAGCTATTATTTACTGAGCACTTTTATATCCTGAGGCGCGTAGCGCCGAGGGATATAATGTGCGAGGTAAATAATAGCTTTCTCAGCCGAGGTATATATAGAATTTTTTTTACTACTAACATTAATGTATTAGCAATTTTAATTTTGACATAAGTAATTTCCTAACAATTTGTTAAATATTTCGAAATATCAAGCAGACTGGAGCGTGTTTCTAATCAGACTGGCTTTATTTATGTAAAAATTTGGCATGTGTCAAATTTTGGTATGATTCTAGGAAATATCCCATTGCATTTTTGATATTTTAATGACATGGATTTATTGTTATTAATTAATAATTTTTAAAGCCGGTGTTGAATTTCCTAGTTAATATATATTTTTACTATTAACACTGATATATATTATCATATTTGATTTGATTAGATTTTAATAAACCCAGCTTTAGTTATTTCCTACTTATTTTTCAAATATTTCAAAATATCAAGTAGTCTGGGAGTTTAGTTGTCAAATTAACAAAATGAAACTAATGAAATTTAGTTTCATTATTTACCTAGGTTTTTTTTTATTATCATTATTTACCTAGGGAGAGAAATATTACTTCTCATTAGAGGAATGGAGTAAATAATGGTGATTTCTCATGTTAGTAGTAAAAAAACTTCATTATTGCTTCATTGGAACTATTATTAGGTGGAATATAAATAAATATAACAACTTTTTTTACCAGTATTTAATATTTTTATGTGTTTATTTTTCACTGCTATAAACACTCCACCACTCTTTGACTTACCAGTAAAACTTATATTTCTGTCTGCTCTCAAGACAGTATAACCATCTGTGTCAAATAGTTAATTATCCCAGATATCCTCCTTTAACCAAGTTTAGACCGCAAAAAGAAAACAATGTAATTTTTGGTCCTTTTTAATAACATTGAAATGTTTTTGTGCGACAGTCTTTTGGAGAAAATCACCTTTATGGCTCCAATTCGGTGAACACGATATACTTGAAATACTTCTTTTGTTCTACAATAATAAAAATTATCAAACCAGCTAAGGGAAAAGGACATTTTCTGACATGTTCAATATAAGTTTACCAGCTCTTAAAAAAAAACTCTCAAATTCGGCTGCGAGTGACTCCACTTCTTGTGTTTTTAATATATTTTTTGTTTTTATTTTAATACAATTTCTGTTTTTTTTTTTTTTTTGTTTATGGTTTGTATAATATTTAGAAAATGTACTTCCAGTTAAGCAAATAAAATGCCAAGGAAAATTCTAAAATTTGGTTCTAAGTTCCTTTTATCGTCACCTAACCATTTATGAATAAAAACTACGTGAAAATATTTACTTTTTACTTAAAGACTCTTTCTGTCATCTTTAGTTCACATAAAATTTTAAATTGTCATCCTGTATATATTTTCTGTAAAAAAACCCTTTATATATCACCATTCGTTTTGTAGGTCACTGAAGAAACCTGCGATATTCTCCAACATTTCGGCTACCAATTCGAACAACGCGGTTTGGTGACGGTCAAAGGAAAAGGCCAGCTGATGACGTACTATCTCCTCGGAAAAACCGGAAAAATTACCCCGCCTACTGCTCCAGTATCTCCAGTGACGGGAATCGGTACTATGGAAACTCTAAACGAAGAAGACGAATCGCACGACAGTCCCACCTCCAAATCGGACGACAAGACCGTCATAGAATGTTCGGACAAGATCGACGATGACGTTTTCACGTCGGATTCCGGATGCGAAGAGGTTAAAGAGTCCACGGAGGCTTCTTTGTTGTTAAATAATTATAATTCTGAATAGGTTGTTGTTGATTCGAATTAAAAAGGCGGAATGCCAATAGATTTGCGGTTTAAAGATCTTTCAACGTCGAATAGATGAAGTTTTGACGATGAGGCAAAGATGCCGCTATTTTAGGACCGGATAAAAATGTAATAGGTTGCGGAGTTGCGCACAGTGAGTTGAATTATTGTGATTAGAGAGGGACAAAATTTCTGATTACTTTGAAATGTATTTAATCGGTTACTACTGTTGTAACAGTTAAAATTTGAGAACCATCATACATTATGTTCTTTAATTTCAATTTTTGTAGGCCTTAGCTGCCAGGGCTATTCGGCCTAGGGTAATTGTTTTGGTGTTTTTTATGTAAAAGGTAAATATTTTAAAGAAACTTTTTTTGTCACAGGATGCACATCACACCATATGACAGTTTATATTCATCAGTTTCAAAAAAAAATGACACACTATTCTTGCTACTAAATAACTAATCACATCAGATAATATTCACGTCTCGATAACTGTTTGTGTTAAAGATTTTTACGAAAACATTAACATCTGACTCCCAATTCTGAGACCGCCATTTCAATGTTAACACCAACTTAACCTAAGCAAATATTTTTTCATAAAATTTAACCACAAATTAACCATTCATAATCTTGTTACAGTCTTGGGTAATGTCATAATCAAGTGTAACTGTTAAAATCTGGTAAAATGCCAATATGATGAAATGATATGAGTTTTCATAAATGGTCATTATTAATTATATATTTAGTTTATTGGTTTACACGAAAATTCTTTTTTGTTCCCTTGCTTTCCCATCTTATTTCCTGAATTGCTGCAATACTTAGGCCATATCTATTTAGATCTTTTCGTATTTCTTGCATTTTTCCAGGTTCTAACATTCCAGGTACTTATTCTCAATTCACTTCTGCATTTTCTTTGTCTTTGTTTCTGTTTCTTGTCCAGTACTTTATCACAGTTCTTTTCCAAGTCGTTTCCTTCATTTTCTGTCTTTTGTTTTCCTTTTCTTTTCCTATATTATCTGCTAGTTTTTTGGAGTGTCCTCATTATTTCCTGTTTTTTTTCTGGTGATCTTTCGCTGAATGTTTTTCCAGCTTGTTCTCTTTCCATTTGTTCTTTTTTAGATGTTCTGTTGTGTTTTCATAACATAAATCTTTTACTGTATACATCTTGTCATTTATATATAATTTATTGTAATTTATGTTTGCTTTAAGTCCATTCTCTCTAGCTTCCTTCATATGATTTGTTAATATTTTTCGCTGTTCTTGAATTTCTTTCTGATAATCTTCATCTATAAATATATTTGTACCTTTTAACTTCGAGGTTTCTCTAATTATTTCTCTTTTTATATGCCAATCTCTGAATTCCACTAACATTGACCTTACTTTGTTAATTCAGCTTTGTCCTCTTTTTCATTGAGTTCCACTGCGAATTTCTCCATCACTTCTTTTATTTTATTTTTCATAATTAACATATCCTCCTTATTAGTTTCCTCGAATCCAAATTTGACTATCTTTTTTTTCCTAGTTTCCCTTTCTAGATCTATTATTCTTTCTTTTTGTGCTTTAAGATCTACCCTAAGCTGTTTATTTTCAATTTTAATCCCTTGATTTTCATTTCTGATTTCTATTAATTCTTTTTGAAGATAATCCAGCTTTCCTTCTATTTTTATGTTCCTTTCTTCCACACTATCTAATTTGCTTTTTGCGTTCCTATTTATTAGCAATTTCTTCGCCACAAAATAGTCTGTTTTCATCTCTAACACGTCCCTTATATAATCTATAAATTTCTTAAACAAGAGAGTTATTAGAACCTTGCGGAACTTTAGAGGTTTCCAGATGTCCAGTTTAAGTATTTTAAACATTTACACTTGGACTAAAATATAAAATTTTGTCCTTCTGTACTATAATGTTCAATTCTGTGCGCGGTGTCTTCTAATTTCCTGAAGGTATTTAAAGATCTGTCTTTTTCTGAGGAATATTAGATTTTTGATTTACTTATTAGTTAAAAAATAAAAAATATTTTGTCTTTCGATAGAAGTCTCTATTTCGTCAATTAATATTTTTGATAGATTTTTTGGTTCCTCATGAAATACATAGAAGTGCATGTATAGAAAAATATTAAGTTTCCACCGAATATTCTTACTTTGTACTTGATGATTTCTCTAGTTACAGTTTACCTACATTCTACCTTAATACGTTCTAATAAAGAGTGATTCAATGAAATACGATTTTTTATTTTTAAAATATAAACAAATACTCGCATATTGATTTTACGATGTTGCCAACTGATAGTAAGAATCTTAGATCTAAGTAAATATAAAAACTATTTGGTGAAAAAAGATTTCATTGATTTTCTCTTACATAAGTGTATTTTATTTCGAATAAAATATTCGTAAAATGGATATTTCTTAGATATAACGAAGTTTATACGATCTCTGACCAAGTAAATTGATATTATATTTAACCTATTTTTATACTGTTTTAATTTTATGTAGAAATAACAGCAAATTTTGACGTTTACAGGGCTTTAATATATTTATATTTAAGTAAAAATTGCTTAAAATATTCTCTGGTTATAAAATATACCAGATTTTAATTTTATAAAGGCGGTGTTGTCAAATTTAGAGTTTAGAGTTCTATTTTTCCATAGATAGATATTTTGAAAAGTCCGGAAAATTAGCATACAGCTTGTAGATTCTATTTCTGAAAATCCCACCAAATTTGGAAAAACTATATTCTGAATTTAAGTTGGAATCTTGAATTTTTGGTGTATGAGATGTAAATATGGGGGACGTAATTCAACTACTCTTTACCACTTCGTCCCAAGCTACCCAAGCATTAATTTTTTTAACGATACCCTGTAGATATTTTAAAGCATTATGTGAGAACAGATTTATAATAAAAAAGTTGATTATATATGTTACTTTTTGAGATATTTTAAATTAAAATTTTGTTTAAATATTTTATTCACCATGAAAACTTAAGCCACCAATGGACAAAAATTATGTGGTACTGTCTCATGCTCCAAAAATTCAGTATTTATATATAAATTTTACATTAACCAAGATTTTTCACACTTTAAAAGGAAAAGCCCACTCATGCGACACGTCGCGCGCGACTGATCGCAAGGCATCGCGCGCGGCAATACTTTAGATGTTTTTAAATGACTCAAAGCCCATTAACGCGGTTATGTCGCGTAGTCGCACGCGGCTGTAAATTAAAAATGACAATCCCGCGAGTTTCTTATTGCACACGGCCAGCATTATTATGGATGCATATGGAGCATCACTCATACAAACGTCAAGTCGCGTGCGAAACGTCAGTTGAGAGTTGGAGTTTCCTGTTAACTGTTCTACAGTTCCAGTGAAAAAATGTCCGACAGTTGTATATAGACAGTTCATATAGATGAATTTATATCCGATATTCAAGACCGACTTCAAATATTGAACAGTTAATTGAAATAAAATAGCGACAAAAATATTTGTTCGGGAATCTGCGCTAGCAGTTCGTCAAATGACACTACTCTTATTCTGCAATATTTGAAGAACTTAACTTCGTGTTGACGTAAATCCTTATATAATAAAGTAAATGCGCCTTTTACATAAGGGTCTATAAATAATGGATGAACCCAGTACCTAAATCGTTTTAATTTTTTCCGCCGACGAACAGAATAAAACAACACCGTTGCTACTTCTTTCACCTCTATTTTGATACTGCACATCTGTGTCGCTGCTTGTCGTCTGTTAAAAATCGTACCAAAATCGCATGCGGCAGGTCGCGCGCGACATGTCGCGCGAGTGGGCTTTCCCTCTAAGAAATAACTCACTATTTAGGGCCGCGTTAAGGGTCAGTTGCGTCCTGGGCAAACCTAAAAGCAGCGCCCCCCCTCATATACACGAAATTAGACGGTCATATTTTAACATCCTAAAATAGTAAAAGTTCATATAAACATAGGTCCGAAAACGTTTCGTTTTCGAGATACAGGGTGTTAAAAGGGAAGTCCTGATGACACTCTTTTGTAAATATTTTCTAAACGTTTAAAAATAACTAAGTGAAATTTAGTATAAATGCTTACCTTTTTACGCTCTATTTAATGGACCTTCCAGACTACATAAAATCATAAGTGTTACATATGCTTGAACTCGTATTGAATAGGAGATTCCAATAATGACTGAATATACAGGGTGATGAATTTGAAAAACCAAAGTGACTTATAATATAAGAGAAACGGCAAATCTGGCAACATTGCAAATATCAAATCTGAAATCTCCGTATACCAAAATAGGTGTATCCCAAATTTTGTACAATTAGAACTAGTAATTTACGAGATAATTTGCCGTTTCCAAAATTTTGTATATTATACATTAACATGTGTTTTTTACCAGCTTTAGTTCGGAAGGGAGTTTTTCATACCCCTTGACTCTATAAAGAAAGTCCACCACCTATGGACCCGATGTGTTCCGGACTGGAAACCGATAGCTAATAAACAAGTTTGACACATTGAGGTAGTTTTTGTACAAATAGTAAAAGTCTCCTCGAGTATTTAAAGCATCATAGACCACCCACCACAAAGTCGTTTGTCGTTATTATTCAAAAATATTTACATCTATTTGCATTTAATTACAATGTTCTTCTTTTTTATTTGGTACATTATCTTTGGAAGTTTTATTAAAACATTGCTTTTTTCCTGTATTTCATTTGAGCCAATTCGTCAATAACACTGTTAAAGTCTACTTTGGAGGTCACGTCACTTGCCGTATATAAAATCATTAGGCTGTTCAGTTTTCCCTCTCCCATAGTAGATCTTATTTCACTTTTTATTCTGTTAAGAGCGGAAAATTCCTTTTTCTACAGAAGAGCTTGTCACGAGAATAGTTAAGAATAATCTCATGACAATTTCCAGGGAAAGTACGTTTTAAATTATTATTGCTGATGTAAGCAAAAGATCATTTTAAATATTTAATGTTTTCGAGTTTCACCTACTCATTGATAAAAAAATCAATGTCAAGATCATTTGGGTACGACTCAGCTAGCCTCTTTACTTCTACGTTGATCTTATGTGAATCTTCGTCGTGAAGGTCTTTGAAAATTTCAAATTTAGTACCGAGAGAAGAGTATCTTTCCATGCGGTCTCTAAATTGACTAGTCATATTGTCGATGATTAGTTCTAAATGTATTTCTTGAATTAGTCACTGCTTCATCTTCTGAGTATCTATTTTCATCTGTAAATCGTTTTCGTGTTCTGTTGCGTTGATGATTGACACTGTTACAAAGAGCCAATGCCTTCTTTTCATACTCATCAAAAAGGTATCTCTTGCTATTTAAAAAAGTTTGTAGGGTTTGTAATTCTTTATTGGCGGAAAGAAGGTATAAATCGTCTTTTTGAAGGTTGTTGCTGGTCTTACCTACTCTTTCCAATAAATCATTTTAAACTATAACAAGAATGCTTGTTTCTAGTTAACCAATCTTCTTTTCAAATCCCTCTGCGGATACTCTTGTTTCTGGTTTTTTGGGAAACGTCCTGAGCCAGACTTTCAAGGGCTTGTTTAATTTGTTTGTAGCCTCGTACCAAGCTCTTGAGAGCATCAGCTCTTGCAGACCATTTTGTCTCACTTAGTGGTTTTGGCAAAGTTGGTTGCTTTTCGGTTCTTTTTTTTTGTTTTCCATCATTGCTTTTCTTTTTAATTCTTTTAGAACACCCCATCTGTAAGTTAAAGAAGAAAAAAAAGTGTATATTCCTTAAAAAAAACGAAAAGAAAATTGTCACCTCAGAGCAAGACTTCTCTGCAGCGTAGCAACCAACTAAGTTTAAAAAGTGAGCTGTGCACGGCACAAAATACATTGTGGCTAGTTTCCTTAATTCTGGTTTGAAGACTAGTAGTCCAGTAACTGTCATTAAGTCGGTCCAGATTTCCGTTGTGGCTCAACTCTTAGGTCTCAGCGGTCGCTTCCAAGGTCGAAAACTTTTACCAACTTTGATGTGTCGGAAAGGGTCCAAAATGGACCCTAAAACTGGCTTCCCGCCAATATCTTCCACAATATACAAATTAGAAAATTTTTGTTTTGATAAAAAAGAAAGATCTTATCATTATCTACAAAAATAGTATCTATCATTTTTGTCGTGAATTCGACAGGTTTCGAGATAACCGCAATCAAAAGTCCCTCATTCAGCCCCTGCTTTATCTCTATAGTAATGCTGATTAGCTTGTAAACGGGTGGACAAATTGTTTCAGAACTCGGTCAAAAATTGATATTTTTCGATGATTCAAAGTTCATTACAATGAGAAAACCCATAGGTATCGATCCATGTACCTTGAAGCCCGTTATTTCCTGTTAAGAACATTAAAAAAGGGGTCAAAGTTGCGTTTTCCTACTATTTTGGACCACTTTATAGTAATTCATTCATATTTTTTTCTTTTAATAGTTTTTTATCCTATTTTTGTTTTAAATGGGATCTTGAGATGTCTCGAATGATCTCAGAAATTTTTTTCCAGTATCTTCCTGGCGTTTTAAAACAAAATTGATTTGTTTATTTGCATTTTTTAAATGTTTTCGGAGTTCTAGAAATCTTTGAAACAAGCAGTAATTAAAAACTCATATTTTATTATATTGTTATTCAATGCACACCATTTTAAAGCTTAGAGTGTCTACTTTTTGAATGTATTTATTTTTTTTTTAATAAAGTTGCTCGATTTTCCAGAAATCGGGAAAATTGATGACACAGGGGAAAATCGGACTTTTTTTTTAAAATACTTCTTGTTCCCCGCTGTTCATTTTTTTAATAATAATACCCAGACCGAAGTGAAGCTGATATTCTCACCTTTCCATTTCTATCAATTGATCCCCGTATGTAAGCGTGGTTCTTAACTTTTTGTTAGAATTATCTCCCCCATTTTTACGCTCTCCGCCTGAGATCTATGCTATTCCATCATAACTTAACCACGTGTACCCACGCGCCACGCGCTCACCTTAATCGTCTGCTTTTGTTGGTATACAATTTCTGTTGTTTTTGGAGTCGTTATTGTCGGTTGTTATATATTTCTTTCGTATATTTAATTCACAATTGTGGGTTCGAGTAGTACAATAATAGACAATGATTACTTTTATTTTCTATATTTAACACAAATGAGTTAAAGTGGAATATATATCGAAGATTTGGGGTTGAGGTAAGTCTTTTGTTACTATATCTATCATATAATTATTTCTACTAATGTTATTCTTTTTTTTTTTAGGTTAAAACAAACATAAAATAGAAAGAGCTTTAGATACAGAGCTTTTAGCGGCACTTCTAGAAGTTTTGCTTTACAAAGTGAGTGTAAATTACCAGAAAAATTAATGAAATTAGGTGTAAAAGGGATCCGGCTCCCCCGGAACTCTTGAAGATGATTTTTTGTCAGTGCAAGACAGGCTGCGAGAAGAATCGTTCATGTTTGAAAGCCGTACTAAAATGCTCGCCTGTCTGTGGTTCGTGTCAGTCGACACAGTGTTTTAATTATAACAAAAATGAAAGTATTTTCCCAGAAGAATTAGAGATGGATCGAGACCCAGAAGGGGTTGAAGGGGAGGAGGATGAAATAGCTGTCGAGACAGCAACACAGGGGTTGGAAAAACAAGGGGAAGGGACGGTGGAGGAGGGGAAGGAATAGAGCAAGAGCAAGACGATGAAGAGTATGATTCTGATGACATTGAATGGTTTAATGTATGATAAATTATAAGCATTGCTATGTATTTCGTATTTTCAACATGTTTTTCATAATAAAAGTAATTTTTCAGAAACTTTCTTATTTTTCTGAAACCCTGAACCTATATTGTTCCGATAGAAGTTGGCGAAAATTTTGCAAAAGACGCAGAAAATATAAAGGGTCTTCTCGGGTCAATATTCATCACACTCTAAAACTAATGACCCACTTAATAGTGGGCAATTTGAGACTGCCACAGGAAAAAAAATTTTTGCACTTTTCTATTAAATTTTGCAACGCAAATTACACAGAAAATTCGGAAATATAGATGAGATACCCCAAGCGCTACTTTACAGAAAAAATCCCGTAGAATCCGCCAATAATTGTCGAAAGATCGATTGGTGCCCGGATTTCCATTCATAGGCCCCATAATTTAGTGAGCAGAGGTATGCCGCTGGCGCCATCTACAATTGGTCTCCAAAGTCCAAAACATGAAAATCAATGTATTCCCAACTCCCTCGAGCGGAAATTCAATGAGAAACTAACATTTCTATTCAGTGCAAAAATTCGGGCTTTTTCGAAGGCCGTTTTTGCAAAAAATATTCGTCATGCGAAAAAAATGGCAGGGGCCATTTTTTTAGATAATGATACGATCTTCATTTTTTATCCAAACAAAAATTGTTAATTTTTGTATATTTTGGAAGATATTAGCGGGAAACCATTTTTTCGGACTTTAGGGGCCATTTTGAGCCCTTTCCGATACAGCAATGTTGATAAAAGTTTTCGCCCTTGAAAGCAACCGTCAAGACCTATGAATTGAGCTACAAAGGAAATCTGGACCGACTTAATGACAGCTTTGCATATTTTCAGGTCTTCAGTTACTGAACTATAGTATATTTACCGGACATATTTAAGGCATTATCATAACTTTCTCCTCGACATTTTTCAATACTAAGTTTCATATCATCCAAAAGATCCACAACTTTGTTTTTCCAAGCTTTTGGATTTATGTGAAACTGCAGGAACAGTCCAACTAGGTGCTCTTTAACGCAAGCTTCTTTAAGCGAAACACATCTTAACACAAAAGTCAACTGATCCATTTGGAAGATGTCAGGGGTAGAATCCAGAATTATGGAATAGTATTTTGCTTCATGCACTGCATCCAAAATTTGTTTGAACACAATTTTTCCCATGGATTCGATGAACTCATGGCATACAAGACGCATTTCTCTTGCCTTTATTTCCATATTTTAAAAGGTGTTGAGCTAGAAACGAATCAAATTGGCTTATCAGTTCAAGGCTACCCAAAAAGAGTCCTTTGGATCTTGAGCCCAGTTTTTGATGTGCTCCACTAAAAAGAAGCCCTCTGATTGCTAGAAACCGTATTACCGAAACTATTCTCGTCAACACGTCTCGTCAATACTTCTCTTCTTGCTAGTGTTGAGTTAGCACTAAATCTTCGACTGCTGAATGTTTCCTCCTTTTTTTAATTCAATAAATATCGATATACCGTATCGATATTATGATATATCGATATTTATTGAATTAAAAAAAGAACAATAGTTTAAGAAGGTAAAAGTAAGTTCCAGACATTCGACATACTACTAGTACGACATTTTTGCACTTTTTTTGAATCAGTAATCTGTAATCTTATCTTTTATACTTATTGCTAGTGCTTTTGCAAACATAACACAAAAGCTTCTACAGTTTTGCACACCATAATAACGACATACATAAACAAAAATATTCCAAATACAAAACAGAAAAGAGCTGATTGTAAAATAACGTCATAACTTCAAAAGTCGGCGCTGCTAACTATAGATAAAGATGGCCGTGGTACAGGGTAAACAAGTCAAACCGTTTACGCCGCGTGGCAATTTTTTCAGGAAATTTAACCCATTTTAATTTAAAATATCGACTTCGATACTGCGTATTTGATATCAATATTTCGAAATATCGACAAATAAAATATCGGCTCGATATATCGATATTTGTTAACCAAAAATATCGATATTCGATATATCGATATTTTTAATACACCCCTAGTGAGTGAGCCCGGTTCACACTACTGCACACCCTCACTACACGAGGCATACTGCTTTCTCTTCAATCAATCCTCCACTAGATCAAATGTTTTAATCTGAAGGCATATTTTGTTGTATTTTTACATTTTTAACAAGGGAAAATTACTTAACAAGTTGAAGTTTTTTTTTGTTCCCTAGCCCGAGCGCCCTCCTGATCCACCGGCGCCCCTGAGCATCTGCCCAGTCTACCTGTTTATAAAAGCGGGCCTGACTCTATTCTTTTATGACCAATTAATCAAAAGTTATTTTAATTTAACCATCTATTGCGGTTAAATTATCTTCATTTACCTGAGAAACCTTTTAAAATAGTTTTACATTTTTCTACTATGTAGAAAAATTTCTTTTCAGTACATATTTTAATATTAATATCTTTTAATTACACCCTATTGCAAAGCGAACTCTATAAATCCTTGGCAAATATAAAAAAAAAACTACAAATTTGGCAACAGCGCTGATAATAAAATTTGATCGGGTATGTCGAATAACTGATTATTGTAGAATTTAAATACCTTCTCACATAATGATACTTTTTTATTATTATTTAACAATTTTATGATGCTATTAATAGCAAAAAATAATAAAATTTTATTGTTTACTTCAAAAATATAATATAATTTTGATTAATAAGAAAAATATTCTTATATGAAATGTATAAAATTCTGAGATTTTGACAAACAGTATATGTATGTAAAAAAATAAAATAATTCAAAAAATAACAACAATTCATAAAATAATTCAATAAAAAAGAAATAAAGGGACAATACTGATTAAATGATTAAATAGTTAAAAATTAAACATTTAAACTTTCAAAATTATTATAAAAAAACTAATTAGACAATCTTAATTAACATTTTCTAACAAATTATAAAGAAAATGTTATTACAATTTTTCGTTTTTATTGAATAATTTATAAATATCTTTTTTTGTTTGTATATATATTTCCAAAAAATATATTATATGATTTGAGTTGTAAAATATGACAGATATTGTACATATGCATATTAAAATTTAGAATGTAGCATAAAATGTACTGATTTTATTAAAACTGTGTATCATAATTTTTTATTATCTTAATTTCATGTATATTTAAGACAAAACTATAGGCTTAAATTATTGAATTATTTCAATCACTTTCATATTAATAAAAAACTCAATATTTCAAATTTTTGCTACAGTAGCAAGTAAATGTTTAGAGACAAAAATAGTGAAGACGTAACAATCATAAAATAGTTTATAACTAGTCACTATAGTGTTTTTGTTTATTATTAAAATA